GTTTATTTTTGGATCCTTTTATTAGTATAAATTAGCTAGAGGTAATTTTGTTTAATCAATCACATAGATATGTCAGATTTGGATTGTGCTATGGATATTGTTTAGTCATCATCTGCTAAGGATTTGTCTATAGAAACAAATTCTTATGAAGGTTTGGTTTTTCTCTTTATTCCTTAGTATTTCTTGGTTTTGTAGTTTCACAAGCAAGGAGGAAAAAGTTGACCATCCTAAAAGCCACTATTGCATCACTTATCTTTGAAAAAGCAAATTCAACCAAAATTCTTGAGCTGAAGATTTTATCTACATATGTTGAAATCGTTTTCTTTCTGTAGTTTTGATTTGCTTTTTGCCTAGGTATGGAACTTATAAAGTTCATCTTGCAAAGAACACTCTACAAAGTGCAAAATACTTAACTTATATAATGGATTGTACAGATATGCATGGCTTGCAAACTTTAACTATATATGGCAATTCATCCATGTGTGCATGATTATATAATAAATTTATGGTTGGTAAATGTTTCTCACTTACAAGGTTTATAAAAACATTTCAAGAAACAGAACTATATAAGAAAAAAAAATTAATATAGATGAAAATTGGTTTCAACAAGCACAAAATTTAGACAATATAGATAATAACACACAAATAATATTAGAAAACAAATTTCAACAAGAATTAAATGAAGATGATAATAGTGTAAATTTTATAAACAACCCTGATAATGAGATATTACCAACAGATACTATAGTAATTAGCTTCTTAGATGCAAATCAAATAGATAATTTTACAAATAAAGTTTTAGTTATAGCACCTGGTCAAGGACAACACCCATTAGGATTATTTGTAGATGAAAATATTGAAGAAATGGCATATCCAAAATTATTTGGTGGAAAACCAAGACCATTAGACATAAAATGTAAATTTATATACTAAGAAATAATCCAATGGGAATTAATGAATGAGGATAGAAAATTTGCATGACATATTGAACATATATTTACAGCAGCTGTAAAAACTTAAATCAAATTTGTCAATCAAAATGCAGGTTTTAGATTAAAAAAATCTACTTATGAAGGAAGAAAAAAATCACATCAAAAGATGTGCTTGAAAATGGAAATATGGATAAAATATTAAAGTTAAACATTAGTTTTAGAGATTTTAAAAATCTAAGAACATCACCAGATAATTTAGAAGCACTAAAAAAATATGCATTTGCCATGATAAGACAATTAGGACCACCAACACCATTCTTAACTCTTAGCTGTTCAGAAAGACATTGGGAACCATTATTAAATGCTTTAAAACATTTGAAAACAGATATATAATAAAAAGAAGAGATAGAAAAATTAAATGAAAAAGAGAAAATATATAAAATACTAAAAGTTGATCCAATCAACACAATACGATATTATGCACATAAAACATCAGTATTTAGAAAATTATTAATGTCCAATTATCACATATTTGGCAGGAAAGTAAAAGACTATGTATTTGTAATACAATTTTAACAACATGGTACACTACATGAACATGCACTAATATGGTTAGAAAATCCACCACAAACATTAGAACAAACAAAAGAATAAGCTAATCAGAATATATGTATTGATTCAGAGAAACTACCAGATAATATAAAAGATGTTCAAACTCATAAACATAGAAAAACATGTAAAAAATATAAAAATATAAATTGTAGATTTATTTACCTAATTCCTCCAATACCACAAACAAAAATCTTAAAGCCTATAAAAGACATTACAAAACATGAAAAGGATTCTTATGCAATGATTTACAAAAAAATAAAAACAATACTAGAAGATAAAACTATAGATCTAAAAAATTTAGAGCTTGATGAATATTTAAAAATAATAGGAATAACATATGAGCAATATAAAGCTACAATAAGATTACATTAACAAATGCAAAAAACAATTATAAACGAAAACCAAAAGACATAAACACAAATACTTTTAATAACAAATTATCAAATTTATAGCAATCAAATGTAGATATTATTCTTGATTGATATGCATCAGCATCATATTGTTTATCATACATTGAAATAGAAATAACAAAGAGATTATCAACTGTATTTAAAAAATGCCAAGAAGGAATAGATGCATATAATAGAGTTCGGTTATTAGGAAATACTTTCATACGTTGTAGGGAAATGCCAATTCAACAAGCTTTGTGTTTATTTCTTGTATATACTGTGCTTGTTCTTTTAATATTTTATTTGCTTCTTGTTCTGGATTCTCCCAATCAAATTCACTCTCATTTGTTACTTTTTTATATATGTATTTATGTTATTTTTCATCTATTTGTTCCATATTTTCTTCATATGCATTCATATATGTTGTGTACATTTCTTTAAGATCTTCTTCTGTTCAAAATTTTTTATATAAGATTAATCTTTCAAAAGCCCACTTTTTTTTATCTTTTTCTTTACTAAAGTTTATATATCTAATTATATTGTTTTTTTTTTAAGTTTTCGTGTTGTTACTTCTTTTTCAATTATATATTCAGTTGTTATTGCTAATGTTAAATCTTCTAATTCTTCTAGTCTTCGCATGTATTTTTCAATTAGTCCAGGTACTGCTATGTTTTTATCATCTTCTTGCATTTTTGCAAGGTCTTGTTTCGTTTCTAAATGTTTTGTTCGTTATTCTTGTAGTTTAGTATCAATGAACTTTACAATTCTAGATATATGATGAATGGGATTGACAATATTAAAAAAAGTAAACAAATGAATTTGATATAGAGACAGATTTATTCAAAATGAAAAATAAAAAAAACTTAAATTTAAATATAAAAGATAAAATATTAACAAATTCAACAATTATAGTACAAGATAAATACCTTATGGAAACTAGTAAATATCACCAATTATTAAGAACTCTAAATAAAAAGAAAAAAATAATACATGATTTCTTCATATTGAAAAAAATAAAACAACCTAACAAACAATTGTGTTTATTTTTAACAGAAGAAGCTATAACTGGAAAGTCAATGCTTTTAAATACACTTATAGAAACACTCAAACGATATTATAAAACAAACCAAGATATAAATAATGAACCAGGATAAAAAATATTAATAATAGCATCTATAGGAAAAGCAGCTTATAATATAAATGGTTCAACAATACATTCAACTTTTGCATTTCGACCAGAAGCACCAAAACAATGTCAAACAATATTAACAAATGACACATTAGATAAATACAAAAGAAAGTTTTCAACAATAAAATGTTTAGTAATAGATGAAATATCAATGGTAAGTATAGAAATGCTACAAGATATAAATAGAAGATGTGAAAGCTTCAAAACAACATATGGAATAGGCTTTGGTGGGATGGATTGTATATTTACAGGTGATTTCTATCAATTAAATCCTACATTTGAAGCACCAATTTATTCAACAAAAATATATAGACCTGAAAATTATGTCTCCATACACCACCCACGGAAAATAATTTTAAAATCTATGAACTTACTGAAATAATGAGGCAAAAAGATGATATAATATTTTAAAAAAACTTTAAATAAAATAAAAAATAGGAGAAAAAATAGATAAAGAGCTAGAATATTTAAATAAACAAGTCACCACAGATACATATAACACAGAATACTATTCTATATTTGCAACTAATGAACAAGTAAGAGAATATAATGAAAAAATAATACAACACATACAAGGTAAAGATATAATTATAGAAGCACAAGACAAACATGGAAATTCCTGTCCTACACATTTCACGCTGCCAGATGACACCAGAAAAATACAAGGACTATATAAAATATTACATTTTTAAAAGAAAATGGCAATTGAAATAACACAAAATATAGCAACAGAAGATGGATTAGTAAATAGAGTAGATGGAGTATTACAAGATGTAACCCAGATTGAAAAAGAACAAATAATGTGGATAGAATTTTCAAATATAAAAACAGGTGAAAAAACAAGAGCTAAAGAAAACATAACAATAAAGCAAAATAATGAAAAAAACTGGACACCAATAAAAAAAATAACAAGAATAATAAATATTACTAAAAATAAAAACTATGTTATAAGTAGAATCCAATTTCCAGTACAACCATGTGCATGAAGAACAATACATAGAGCACAAGGGTCAACAGTTATGCAATTAGGGTATGACCCATATAAAACAAAATATCTAGGACAAGCATACACCGCATTATCAAGAGCACGAACACTAAAAGGGATACATTTATATAGACCAATTGAACATAAACATATTAAAATCAATAAAGATGCAGCTAAAGAAATAATAAGAATGACAACAGAAGCACCATAGCAAATTGATTTAATAGATTTACAAGAAGAAAAAATAGCTAACCAAACAATTATACAAGTTCTAAATACAAGATATATTACTGCACATCAAGAAGATATAAAGAGTGATTCACAATTATTAACATCAGATATAATATGTATGCAAGAAGTAGGAACACAAAAACATGAGGATTTATATTTTAATAAATATAAATTACATATTCATGAACAACCCCCACATATAGCAATATTGCATACAAATGACTATAAATCAGAAATAGTACAACATTTAAAAACATAAACAATGGCAATGTCATATGTATCACTAGAAAAAAATAAAAAACAATTACAGATAATAAATTTACATAAAAAACCTGGAACAAATATATATATATATATATATATATATTCATAAAACAATTACAAAAATATATACAGAAAGTAGATAATAAAAAACCAGTAATAATTACAGGAGATTTTAATATTGACTACCAAATAGAAGAAGTAAAACCACTTCAAACAATAATGGAGAAAGAAGGATACATACAAATAATAAAACACAATACACGTAATAATAAATTAATAGATCATATATGGATAAAAGATATAATATATACAAAAGTAGGAATAGCACCTGCATTGGACAGATCATAACAATTATGTATCATAATAAAAAATATTTAAAAACAAAAACAAACCAACCGTTGCTGCAATGCAACGCGCAGCAATTTATTACGAATTGCACGCACACACTAGTACATGGGGTTAGGCAGCTTAAAGAACATAAACTTTTCTTGGTCAACTTTGTCCGGGAAATTTTCAATTGAGATTGTTTTCTCCCCTGATGCTCCTGTCACTGCAGTGGCATCTTGTTGTATGTGCAGCTCATTTGTATTGAACTGACTGGAAAAGCGCCATTGATTAGTAAAACCTTGATATTATCACAAAGAACTACTTACTAGTCCAGGATTAATTTTGTCCAGCCACTGTAGCCTGCAGCACGCAGGTTCCTTTCCGTTGCTTCACGTCGCTTCTCGGATCTATCGGAGATGAGCACGATTCTCCAGTTTGCACACAACAGCTCGTTGTAGAAATCCAAAGAAGACTTGATTGCTACAGCCTTGCCTTGTTGCACCCAAAGGTCAAAGTCGGTACTGTTACGCGGGAGGGCCCTGTATCAAAGTAAAACAACGAAATGTCAGTCATAATCTCATGATAAACGGATGGACTTTACTCGAACTGGCGAGTGGCATAGTAAGGGACATTGGACAATAGTGTCTGGTCGACTTGGAAGATCCAAGTGCCAGGGTTAGTGGGAAATAACCTTGCAAACTTAGTAGATTGGAGAGTTGCTCCCCACACATCACCCCCATACAACCCCTTTGTCATGTAGTCTCCAATGTAGTCGATGCAATCTTTGGGGACAGTCCAGCCCTTGGCAAGGTTGGCAGCTTCTGCATTGCGCTGGAAAATGCCGCAGAATTGATTCACGGTCATCCAATCAGGCTTCTCTTGGAGGTCCACCTTGCAATTGGAACAAGTTACCGCATGAGAGCAAACCGTCATATGGACAACAACAAGACAGGCAACCAGAATACATGCGGACGATGCCATGGTGTGCATTGGAGAGTGTTCCCAGTTTTATATAGTCTAGACAGGAGTGCGTGCTAGCTCACACTGGTAAAGCCGAGTACGAAAGGTTCCATCTCTGAGACTACGGAAAATTTTTTATTAAAGTTCGGCAGGGATGGTATGAGTTCCAGGAATAAGCTCTAAAATCCTTAGGGCTGATAAAGGGCCGACGTGGCAGTATCGTTGAGTGGAAGTCAGAAATGCTTGATAATGAATAAATTCATGTGAGCCATCACTTTCAAGTTCACTTTTCACTTACCGTATTAACAAGAAATCAAGTCCCGATTCTGAGCCCATGTTTTATTTGAGCGAACTTATGGGGGACGAAGCCATGGACAAATGAGACACCTCTGGGAGGTACCGGAAAATATAGGAAAAATGCATTAGAGCGACAAATCCAATATCGAGGAAAAGTTGTCCTTCCAAATCACATAGGCATTACTGTTTTTTCAAATTACTGGCACTGGCCGTGGAAAGAATTATTTGCATTATTGCTGCTACGATTGTAAGGATGAAGGACATGTTGCACTGAATACATTCTCCACTACCATGTTCCTTTAATTTGCCAATGTGTTCGACTTGTTAACAGCCTTGAAGGATACAGTTTTCATTTTTTGTTTTTTCGTTTAGAGAACTTATGGCGGAAAAGAAGCCATGGGAGACATCGAGCATTGTTGCCATTGCAGTATTCATATTTGCCATTGTAGTTGCAACAGGTGTGCTGCTAGTCTTCTCGTTATGTGTGGACAAAAAGAAGCCAGAAGGTGAGTTCTATTCTGATCTCATCAAACAGACAGGTACAACTTGTTGGGAAACCAACGTGTTTGCGACAACAAACGACCCCTTCTACAAATGGGCCACAAGCACCTCCATTGCATCAACACTCTATTTTACCGGTGTTAGCACGGCGGAGGTTGCTGCTGCTTATCAAACGCTCAGTGCATGGCGGGTTTGGAGAAGCAACAACAAAACTGTAGAAGCTGATCTTTTTAACTCGCCCGATCCACACTTGTATGGAGGAGTCATTCAGCGTACTAGTCCGATCTGGAAAATGGCGATTCACTGGGGGATAAACTTACGCCTGTGCATCGATGATGGGAGAGGACTGTCTGCTGTCGAACGCTGCAAGGTCACTGCACCTATAGTCCCAGTGGACAAAACCAGCGGTAAGCCGGATCTTGGCTTACTTCTCAGTAAAGTACCTTTCGCAATGCCATCTTCCAACATCACGCATCCAGTTTTCACCGAGTCTGGATTTTATTTCAGCAACTTTGCTAGCAGTGCGAGGTCCAACATATCCACGGGGATTAGCCAGGAGAAAATTCCCTATAACGACTCGACATGGTCTTACTACAGCAATGATATTAGAGAATGCAACTTATCTGTTCCCATCAACTACATGCCGGATGTTATTTCTTACTTGTCTTATCCATTCTTACAGTGCGCCTGCCGTGGCCAAGTTTGCATAATTGGATACAACTTGACGCAAGTCCAAGATGTTTCCTTCTCCTTCAACACTCCTCAGTGTGAGAAATCTCGATCATTTTGGGACTGGAATACTATTACAGATAAAAATGCCATCTTTCTTGGATCTTCCAGCATCAAATTTAACTTCCCGGTGACATTCAAAATTCAATTTAATGACTCTCTTCCCATTGTCAACCTCACAGAAGGTGTGCTGAGTGGGATGGAGCAGGTGACAACATGCATTGAGACAACGTTAGAAGGAGACCAAAAGCCAACACGCACAATTCTAAATAATTCTTGTACAAAAAACGTGACGGGTTGCCAAGTTTCGTTCATCGGCGGCAAGAATATTGGTACGCAAGCCGACAAGGTGGGCGGCACTGTCATCAAAGATTTTCTGAAGAAGACACAAGGAAGGGACATCACCTGTGGGAACGAAGAATTCAAGGTGAGTTCGATACTATGACTTTTTTTTTCTTCTGAAGGCTGATGTTTTATTTTCTTGGTTAAGGTGGATTCACCACCGTGTTTCAGAAAATTGTCTCCAAAGGACAACAACGAAGTCCAAGAAGTTCTCAATGACTTGTTGAAAGTGAGCAACGTTCATCGTTTTGGAGAGCGGTATTGGAAAGATGGATCTTCTCGTCGAACACAAGTTTATGCGTCTTTTATGACATTTGTCATTGCATTCCTGGGAATTTGTGCTGGCTCCTTAAGCAGGACACTCTTAGAGTGGGAAGATTCATTGTTTCGCCAACTCGATCAACTTAAGTTGGCCGGTAAGCCAGGCTACCGTCCACTAATCAGAACTTTGGGGCGGACAGTGTTCATTGCTGGTTCAGTGGCAGGAAGCTTGCCAGGTCTCTACTTCAGCATAAATGACCTCCAGAAGGAACCTTCCCTTGCCACTGCTGAGACAATTCTCCAGCTCAATAATGACACAGCATTCCTAGTTACAACGACATCCACAGTTGAAGTTACTCCAAACTGGATAGTCTTCCAAGTGTTCACTGTGTTTATTGGATTAGCAGTGGTTGCACTAGCCATCCTCATCTACTTCAAATTAGATAAAATACGTCAGCAACATGATGAGAAAAATGTTCAGCAACAGGGGGATTCTCCAGGTAAATCTTCATCACTTTTGTTTTGAGCTAACATATGTTAATTTTTCTGACAGGCAAAAATGCATAGCTCGCTTCGTGTTTCCGCTTTGATTTTCTAGTCTAGCTGTCCGGGGCCAGCCTGCTTTTCCGTGCATTTCTTTAACTTCTTTTATGTAAGAAATAAGTATGACAAATTAGGGTTTTATTATGCGATATTGCCAAATACCATAACATGAGTATGAAGGGGACAGCTCACAAAGGTTAAATTATATAGTGCGGAAATAATGTGAGCATACATTCGTAAGGTATAATTGACTATATGAAATAGATTGCTTCAAAAATTAATTTTCTATTTTCTCTTCATTCTTTTGTTATAACACAAGCTTTTTTCTTGTTGTATTATGGGCGTATTTCTTCGAAGTGTCTAATTTGAATGCTGTTAGATTAGTTTGATGAAATATAATTCTAGAAATCAGTATAATTCAAGCATACTTGACTAGATTGCTCGCTCGCTCACCAATCCCTTCTTTCGTGGATTGCTTTGTGAAAAGAGCGGTTTCATGAAAGTGTCGCTTTGGCCGAGTGGTTAAGGAAGTAGTAGGAGACAGCAGAAGAGAAGAAAGAGAAGTAGTGAGTAGTAGTAGAAAAAGAAGAAGAAATAGGACGAAAACACTCCAGAAAAACAAGCTCACTCAGAGGCCCACGACTTGAGCAACGAGTCCATACCTCTCTCGTAGATGGCCTTGGCAACGCAAGCGTCCTCCTGCTTCCCAAACCTCACCTCCCACTCCATCTCCATCACCCTCTTTGCCGCTTCCTTGTCCCCGTGCGTAGTCTGCCATCGTCTCCAGGTAACTCTCGTTGCCATCGTTGCCAGCCGTGAGCTTGTGCATCGCCTCCATAATCACCTCTCCCGCTGGAACATAATCCCCTCCGGCAGCGCCACCACGTTTCCAACCTCCACCTGCTGGTAGAGCGACCAGTGGATCGCTCTCACGCACTGCCTCTCCTCCTCATCCTGGAGCTTTGTCGCCAACACTTGCTCCAGCTTCACCACCATCCAGGCCGGACTGATCCCTCCCTTGACAAAACTCAAAGTTTGCCTCGGCCAAGTCCCTGTAGAAGCCCGTCACCTGCGCGAGATCCTCGTCCAGCCGCCGCTACAGCTCGCACTTCTTGCAAGCACACTCGAAGGAGAGCCTCGTCCGCCTGTAAGGATGGCCGCCGATGATGTAGCAGAACCCGAGTGATGTCTCGGGTGGCAAAGTAGCACGCCGTGGTGCCAAACACCCTCTGGGAAACGTTCCCAACACAGCAGTGGTTGATGAAGCGGAGCAGCGCCAAAGCTTTCCGGTACATACTCTTGAGATGGCGGGGATCCACGGAGAGAGCAGCACTTGCGGCATCCACACACTGCTCAAATCGTCCCAGCTTGAGGAAGCACTCGGCCTTGTTCGACAGTGCAAGTACTCGATCTCGCTCCTCCTCCTGGAGCTCGCATTTCCCCATGCTCAAGGCTTGGGCGGCAGCCTCAAGGCTGCCATCTTGGAAGAGCCTGTTGCCTTCCAATCGCAGCGCCGCGGAGGCCATACCTCTGAATCGCTCCAGCTGCTCGTCGCTGAGGTAGGAGATCACGTCCACGGTTGTCCAGCGAGGTGAAGGAAGAACCCTCTTGCTTCTGGACATCGGCTCCTTGACGGCCACTCGAGCTCCTCTCGAATATTTCGCTCGGACTTGCTCGGATGTGGCGTCGCTGCCCACTGCGTGCTTGATCGCTAGAAGAACCTCGTCGCCGCTGGAATCCCTGAGCGTAGTGAGTACCTCGAGCTTGAGCGTATCCGCAATGAGCACTCCATGGAGAACACAGCCTCTGGCGAGCGATCCTGGGCGGAGATTCGCAATCCTGGTTGGCGCTAGGGCTGAGATCGTGATCTGCCTGGTGCTTCTGGATCATCATCGACACCACATCGTCTCCGGATCGGTGTGCGGCGGAGAGGGAGAGATTTCGGTGCCCGAGCGGGGCGGAGCATCATCGCCGTCGCTCGCAAGGAACTAGGGTTTAAGCTCCCTCCATTAAGAAAAACGAATCTACCTTTGTTTACGTCAAGATTTTTTGACTCATAGATCTTCTCTAAATTAAACTGAGTATTAAAGGCGGAAAGTTATGCTACTTCTTATGGTTGGTTTAATTACTTCCTTCTCATTGTTGGATTCTTGTGCTTGGCAGGACGAGAATATTACAAAGTTCCTGTGGGACATGCTGAAACTTCCTTCTCATTGTTGGATTCTTGATTACTTCTATCATTTTTGCTACAGCTCTGAAGCATACCTGTGGGACATGCTGAAACTTCTTTTTCATTGTTGGATTCTTCATTACTTCTATCCCATTGTTGGATTCTTGTACGAGAAGAACAAACTTCATGATTTGCAAGGTAAAGTTCATAGTTTACATCTGGATTTTCACTCATTCATGCTGAAACTCAAGACGAACTACGATGGAACCGTCATCATGTATCCATCCCTGCAACTCGTCGCTCAGACACAGCTCCATTGTCTTCCTCAAAGAACTGGTACGTGAATCCCTCAAGCATTGACTCGGGAACAACGTAACGAGCTTGTACTGCTCGGGGAGCGGCAGCTCCCGCTTGTCATGAAAATCATCCATCTCTTCGATCACAACTTCTTCGATCTCGGACCAGCAACTTCTCGTCGTGGTCACCCGCAGAATCATGTCCGCGAGCTGAAAGCCTTCCCACTCGACGAGTAGCGCTCCACGAAGCAATAGTCCGGCAAGCATGCGAGTCCGCGAGATTCATCCGCTTGAGTACACCTTCCACTAGCGCAGCCGCTTCACCGATCACTGGACGCCGCCACCTTTCACCTCCAGGGACCCAAGAGCAAAATCGGAGCCTCCACTCGCAAGGATCAGATGGATCGTTCAACTCGGTGGTGAGTGCAAGCTTGGTGTTTGGATTGGACTCCGCCCAGAGCTTTGCTCTTGCGAATCACGAGCCAGGAACTTGCATTGCTGCAGTTTCTCAGAGAGACCAAGTTCCCAGGCCATAATTTTTTTCCCAGAATCCCCCATTTAATCGCACATAGCTTGCATAATCCCCATTCTAACTTAATCAACATTTGCTATCTTGCTTAAGTCAGAAAGCAAGGACGGATTCAGATTCACAGGGATACCCTGCCATGTTATATAGAAATCAGTGTTAGTGCCATGATCCAGTACTTCCAGCAAATGCCATTTCAGGGCATATGCAGTGCACATCACTGTCCAAGAAGAAATATCTCCCCATTGAGTCGAAGGTGAATTTTCTCTATCGCAATACCAACTAGCATGAGAGCTGTCGATATTGTCACTCCTTGCAATGGATTCGTGGAGCCTCCACTCATCCCTCCAGAGGACTCCTTCTCAAGTGATTAGACTATTTCACGGGATAAGCACGACAAGGTGTTTCAAGGCTAGGGTTTTCTCCAGCGGCGGTCCTGGCGCCTCGATTCGATCAGGTGACACGCATTCTCGAGCTCGCCTTTAGCGCTGCCGATCGTCCATGGGAAATTCCGCATCCATTGCGAGGAGGAGCAAGCGATCTTCGAGCTCGCTCGCCAATCCCTTCTCTCAAGTGCCTCCCGTGGAGAAATCTCCAGCCCAGCGGCCGATCGAGAAGATCCTGATCGCGAACAGGGGCGAGATTGCGTGCCGGATCATCAAGACCGCGCGTAGCTTGGGATTAAAAACGGTGGCGGTTTACAGTGATGCCGATCGAAACTCTCTACACGTCCGTCGAGCCGATGAAGCAGTGTTTATCGGCCCCGCCTCTGCTCAGCTCAGTTACTTGTCCACTACTTCCATCCTCGACGCTGCTCGTCGCACTGGAGCCGATGTAAGCTTCCATTGGATTCTTTCTTTTCTTCTCGACTCATACATATCCTTCTCAGGCAATCCATCCCGGGTATGGATTTCTATCAGAAAATTCGAAGTTTGCGCAGGCTTGCCACGAGTCTGGGATCACATTCATTGGCCCTTCGGCAGCTGCGATTAGCTTGATGGGAGACAAAAGGTACGCCATCTCCATTTTTCTGCAAAGAACCAGCCATAAGAACTATCTTGGAACTCCTTAGTGCCTCCAAAAAGCTTATGAGCGGTGCTAATGTTCCTGTTGTTCCTGGATACCACGGGGATGATCAGAGCCACGAGCTGCTGCAATCTGAGGCTGATCGGATTGGCTATCCCGTTCTGATCAAGCCTGTTCTTGGTGGCGGAGGAAAGGTTGGTTTTTTGCTTTCTTTTTGGTATTTTGTTTCATGTTGGCGACACTACTGATTTCTCTTGTAAAGTTTTGGTTCAGGGCATGAGGATTGTCCACAGCAGAGACGAGTTTCTGGACAGTTTGAGAAGCGCTCTACGTGAGTCTGCTGCTGCGTTTGGCGACACCAGGGTCTTGATTGAGAAGTATATCGCACAGCCTCGACACATAGAAGTCCAGGTGGGAGATTTTCTGCAATCTGGAAATTTATCACAGACTTGCTGACAGATCTTTGGCGACCGCTTTGGAAACGTTGTTCATTTGTTTGAACGGGACTGTAGCGTTCAGAGGCGCCACCAGAAAATTATAGAGGAAGCACCAGCGGTAGGACAATATTTCAGGCTGTTTGCTGTTTCACCATGTTTTTTTTTTATATTCCAGCCGCTCATGTCAGACGACTTTCGCAACTCAATAGGCCAAGCAGCAGTCAATGCGGCTAAGGTATCCTCTTTTGTGATTTGCTGCTGTCAAATCAAAATTTCTTTTCTATCGAAGGCTGTGAATTACCTGTCGAGTTTATTGTCGACACTGCAACAGGAGATTTTTTCTTTATGGAGATGAACACACGTTTGCAAGTAAGGACGGACTTCCACTAGTTTCTGTATATGCTGAATTAAACTGCTGGTCAGGTTGAGCACCCTGTCACCGAAATGGTGACGCGTCAAGACTTGGTGGAATGGCAAATTCGTGTCGCAAATGGCGAAAGCCTTCCACTTGAGCAAAAGAGTATACCGCTTATTCCCGAAGATTATCGCAGCTAAGCAGGTCATGCGTTTGAGGCTCGGGTCTATGCTGAAAACGTTCCAAGAGGTTTTCTACCTGCTGCTGGAGTTCTTTACCATTATAATCCACCTCCCGCTTCATCCACTGGTAACTCGTGTCAAACTTGGAGAATCCTAAGCAGTTTATCTTGTCAATGCAGTGAGAATTGAGACGGGTGTAGAGCAAAGTGATGCTGTAAGCGTCCACTACGATCCTATGATAGCCAAGCTGGTCGTATGGGGTAGTGATCGCGATATGGCGTTGGCGAAGCTTCATAATTGCCTCTCGAATTTTCAGGCAAGCTGGTTTGCTCTTATTTTTTATAATTATTGTTCAGTACTAACATTGCATTCGCCAGGTTGCTGGACTTCCAACTAACATCCACTTTTTAAAAAAGCTTGCAAAACATCCGGCTTTCAGGGCTGGGGACGTGGAAACACACTTCATTGAACACCACAAGAACGAGCTACTAGATTTTTCCGAAAGAGCCAAGCGAGATGTAAAATCTTTCGCTGCTTTAGCGGCCGTGGGCGTATGTGTAAGGGAGAGTTTTCGACGACCAGGTAAGATCGACTCGCAGTTTTGAGATAGCCAGCATTTATGATTTCCAGTGCAGAATCGAGAACTGGAGGCCCATGGCATACAACTTCTGGTTTTCGAGTCAACAATCCTTATACCAGGAAGATCTCGTTAGACTGGATGCCTGAGTCCGAGAGTCTCTCATGCAAACCGATGAGCTTAGATGTCACTTATTCAAGTGACAACGAGTTCTTAGTAAAGGTAGACGCATTGTTTTCCCTTTTGCCTATTCCCCAAGTCGAGTCATATTGTGCAGTTTGCGGAAGATTCATCTTGTGTCAAACTTACAGCTAAAAGAGTTGCTAGTTCTGGCTGTGACATAACCGTCGACATCAATGGCATTTCCTCCACTATAAACTATGGTTATTATCTGCAGGTATGCAGTTTTCTCTCCTTTCAATTTAGATCTAATTGGCATTTTCTGGACAACAGAAATCGGCTTATCATATTCACGTGTGGAAGGACGGCGAGCACCATCACTTTACAACAGCGTTGCGGGAGGCCTATGATACAGAAAGCCATGGTGAAACATCTCAACGATTAACAAGTTCTGGCGGTAGTAGCAAGCTAACACCGGGAGCCGTCGCTTCTCCCATGGCCGGACTGGCTGTGAAAGTTCTTGCAGAGCTGGGCTCAAATGTGAAAGCTGGAGATCCTCTCCTGGTTTTAGAAGCTATGAAGATGGAGGTAAAAACCTTATATTTGTTCGTATTTGTTGCTTTCCTCTTACACACCTTTTTGCAGCACACTGTAAAAGCACATATTTCTGGTGTTATCAATCAAGTGAACATCACTGCCGGCCAGCAAGTTAGCGACGGGGGGATTCTTTTTCATATCAAGGCTCAAGAATCATAATAGTTCACGAGTGTCTTGAAACTCTGTGCGTAAGTCAAAAGGTAGCTTTATATTCAGTAACGTTCGATCGTCTCTAACTTACTGCTTGAGCAAAAAAGGACACTCAGTCTAGAAGTTAAGGAGAATTCGCTATGGGCGACCGCTACTCGGCCCCGGTAAAAGCGAGTACTCATCAGCGTCTCGGCTCCTGAAAGGCCATATTGACGGCATTCTTCCACTCTGGATGCAGACATAGCAGCCATAGCACAGGAACAAGACCACCGCGACCACCAGCACGATCGCCAAGGCCAGTAAGAACTTTGCTCCAAAACGATCCCATTTGCTCTTTCCTGTGGCAAAGAGAGAACAAACATCAACGTCTCGTACTCCAGGGGCTCTAAAACTCACCGCGATGGACGAGCAAGTAGTACGTCGAAGGCTCGTGTTCCAGAGCCGTGACCGCGATCTCAAAGAGAGTATCTTCGCCAGCCTTGCCAACTTGGAGCTGCGGGCTTGGAACGCCACTCTTGAGAGGAATGGAGTTGACAGTCACCGTGTACTCGTCGCGCTCCTGGAGCAGCAAAGCAACAAATCAGAGCGAAGTTTCACAAAGAACACTACCTCTTCCTGCGAGACAGTGGCAACGATCCTGATCTTTCGTACGCCCGAGCTCACGGAGGAGGAATAGTTGTAAGTCCGGGGGCTAAAGTCTGGCGAGAGCTTTCCACCGTTGGTGACGTTCAGGCCGGCGAGAAGGGCCTTTGGAAGATGGTGTGGAGGAGGCGGAGGAGATGGTGGTGGAGGCGGTGGTGGCGGCGGTGGCGGCGTTCCACTTGAGCCTTGGTCATCGTCATCGTCATCGCCATCGCTGGGAGCCGGAGCTGGCGCTGGAGCTGGACGGCTATGGTGGTGATCGTCAGGTGCTATAGGAGGAGGTGGCGGCGGCGGCGGAGATGGAGGAAACGGGGGCAGTGTTGGAAAGGAGGCAAAGCTGGAAAAACTCAAACGCTCGACTGGATCATCGCTGGAGCCGGAGTAAAGAACGATGGCTTCCTCGAGCTCGTTCTTCCCAAGTTCTTGGGTAGAAACAAGCACGAGAAAGCCGAGCAGGAGGAGCATCACAGAGCTCGACCGCATTCCTTGGAAGCGATTCTTCCAACCCAAAGAACCGAAAGGAGAAGAACCAAAAGAAAACTAACCCGAGAGTAGTTCCTCGTCACTGGACCATCGCTTCTCTGCTAGAATCGCACGAAGAAATCAGAACCCTAGTCCTAGAGAAGAAAACCACGAGGAAAATGAGAGGAGAGAGACAAGAAAGAAGAAACCACCGTGGAGTAACGGTTCGAGTCGTGGTTAGACACGCTTATTAAGCTAATTAGATCCTGTTAGTGTAAGCTAAGCTAGTATAAGCATGGATTTTGGCATAAACCCTAGCGCTAGATTATTGGGTGAGAGAATGACTAGCGCGTCGCTGTCAGGGCTCGTGTTGATCGATCCCGCCGCGGAGCTGGCGCTATGTAAGGCTTCTCGATCGGCGCTGGCGGCAGTAGCATGCAACTGGAATGGCAGCGGCGGCGGTAGCGGCATGCAATGCATGCGGCCAGTGGCCCTTCCCGGGAGGATTGAGCGCGGCGCCGCGGCGGCGCCGCGGCATTGATCGGGGAATCGCGGTAAGAATGGCCAAGGGCGAGGAGGAGAGCTCCTCGTCGGTGCTGGAATCCGTGGAGGAGGCGGAGTTCTCGGGGCAGCATCCGTGGGATCCTCACAAACCCAGCTTTAGCCGGCTTCTTCCGGAGAGGATTCGCCCCTATCCTTCCTTCGAGGGATGGTACACACGGCTTGTGGATGAGCCGAGGCAATTCAGCGCTGGTGTGATCATGGCGACGAATTACGCGACGCAGGAGAGCCAGGTTACTTTGCTCTTCAGTGATTCATCGCGTAGCACACACGCTGTGGCCGTGAAAACAAAGGTGAGTTTATCCCTTTCAAGGTACGGTTTTTTTTTTCTTGTTCTATTTTTTTTATAGTTCACGCACTCCTAGATTGCTAGCATTCGTTTTGTTTTAAGTCTACGAGTTTCTCGGGTGTGAGTTTTATCATAGTTTACTAGCTTTCTAGTCTCCATCTCGTCCACTCCACTGTTCTTTTGCTTTTTTTCATCGGTCATAGTTTACTAGCTTTCTAGTCTCCATGTCGTCCCTATTTTCCCTTCTTTTTACTGCGGCATCCTTGTTTTGCAATCCTCCCTGGTGTTTTTTTTGTGTTTTTGGCCTGCATTTCTTCATTGAAAGTTTCTTAGTTTCCCCGGCTGTTTTCTTCTTGCAGGACGCGAAGTTTAGCACGATAGGAGATTTGTCTGGAGCTGACAATGACGACGAGCCCAAGGGATTTCAGTGGGAGGCTGCAGGCATTGGAAAAATCGTGATGAAGCCGAATGAGTCCGAGGTGGAGGTCCGGCTAAATGGTTACGACCTCAGAGTTGAGACGAGTGGCACGGTAATGTTCTTCATTCCAGAACCAAAACAAAATCTCATATCCCGGTGTTTTTTCCAGGTTCCATGGGATTCTGGCAATAGTAAAAAGGGCCCCGAAGGCTGGGCAGGGAAAGTTCCACTGTTCCCGTGCCATTGGTACGTGCACAGCCTGGGCTCCCGAGCAAAGTACACATTTTTCAGCAGCGACAAGAACATGGTGGTTCACGGTGACGGGTTTGCGCACCAGGAGAAGAACTGGGGAGAAACTTTCCCTGCCGGCCATGTTTGGCTCCAGGGGATGTCGCGGGATAATTCTTCCCAGATTGTCTGCTCGGGAGCTCGGTTCAAGCTCGGTAAACTCCTGGAGACCCCTTACGTCTTCTCACTCGGATACCGATCGGCCAACTGCAAATTGGATCTGCGCACCAACAACCTTGGAACCATTTTCAAGGACGTGCAGCTCTCTCCCCTGGAAGCGAAGTTCGCATTAACCGGAGTTGGTCCTTCACACACTATCAAGGTATGGTTTTCGGTTCTCTCTTCTCGTTCCTAACTCTTCTTTGTTCTTGGCTTGGCGATTAGATTCTGTGCTATGCTTCGCCGGTGTCGTTCTCGGAGCAAATCCTTGCTCCGATTGGAAAGCTCGAGTGGAAGCCCGCGTGCCGAGAGTCATTCGTGGCGACGATCGAGGTGGAAGTGTTCGAGCACGCAGTGTGGGGAGTGGCCAACGAAGATAAGCTGGTGGACAGCCAGATGTTTCGATGCGCAGCTCTCGAGTTTGGCGAAGATCTGCTCGAAGACGCGCTTCAGCAGCAAGATCAATCAAACCCAAACTAGATTCTTTTCTACTTTTAAAAAGGTCTAATAGAAAAGATTCGAAAAGATTCTTAAAGTTGGCATAAAGGCAAGCAATATATCTCCAAGCGCTCCCTCGGATATGCTTGCCTTTATCCCTTGAACTAAACAATGAGTATGCCTTTTATCTCCAAACTAGATTCTATAAAAAGGTATAAAAAAGGAATATGCTTTTAGGGTTCTACGCATTCCCTGCGAATGTATTGGATAGCAGCGCTAATCCCCCAGCGGCGCTCTCTGGGTTTAGATCGATCGCTTGCTCCGCTGCCCCGGACGCCCGCCGCGCATCCCCGTGGATCCGGCAAGATCCCAGCAGCGCCGTCACGCTCGTGATCGCGGGCTGGATGGGCATCTCGCGCACCAGCTCCTCGGCGTGATCCAGCCACCCCGCGCGGCCGAAGAGATCGATCATGGATCCGTAGTGGAGCAGCGCTGGATCGATGCCGTGGTCGTCCGCCATGCACACGAAGTAGCGCCGCGCCTCCTCCAAGAGCCCGGCGTGGCGGCACGCCGAGAGGATGCTCACGATCGTCACGCGGCTGGGCTCCATTCCCTCGAGATGCATTGCCTGGAAGAGCTCCCTCGCGCGGATCCAATCGCCGTGCTGCGCGAAGGAGATGACGATCGAGTTCCAGGCGATGGTGTCGCGCTGGGGGAGGGCCAAGAACACGGCCATGGCGAGGTCCAGGCGCCCACACTTGCTGTACATGTCGAGCAGGGAATTCGCGACCTGGATGCGATCGTGGACGCCGCTGGCGATCGCCCTGGCGTGGAGGATCCGGCCGTCGGCGAGGCGCGAGCTGGATTTGCAAGCATCGATCGCGCTGACGAACACCACGGCGTCGGGCTTGATGCCCTCGAAATCCATCTCGCGGAGCATCGCTAGAACGCCAGCGCCATTGCCGCTCTGGGCAAGCGCTGTGATGATGCTGCCCCAGGAGATCACGTCCCTGTGGATCATCCCGTGGAAGATCTCCAGCGCTCGCTCGATCCGGCCGCTCTTGGCGTGGAGATTGATGAGCGAGTTCCCAATCGCGGTGCTGGATTCCAGGCCGCAAGACGCGATCGCCTCGTCGATCGCCGCGAGGTTGCGCGGGCAATGCGAGGGATCGCTGGCGAGCGCGTCCATGATCGTCATCATCGAGACGCGGTCCTGCCGCACGCCCTCGAGATTCATCCGGTGGAAGAGCGCCACGGCCAGATCGACGCGGCCGTGCTGGGAGCACGAAGAAACCATCGCTGTCCAGGCCACCACATTGGAATCCAGCGAGCTCTCGCGGAAGAAGATCGCCATGGATTCGTGGAGGAGCCCCCACTTCCCATACATGGCGATCAGTCCAGTTCGCAGGTAGGGATCGCGCTCCAGCCCGGAGAGAAAGATCCACTCGCGAATCGGCGCCGCGGCGCTCCGGATGGATGGATCCGCGAGCCCTAGCGCGGCCAGGGACTCGAGCACGCTGGCGATCACGAGCCTGTCCGCGCTAACGCCGGAGAGCTGCATCCTCCGGAAGAGATCCATCCCCTCGCGATGCAATCCCATCTCGGCGTGCGCCGCGATGATCGACGTCCATGTGAGAACATTGGGGTCGGGGATCTCGCGGAAGATCGCCCAGGCGCGATCCAGGAGCTCGCATTTGCAATAGAAGTGGACGAGCGCGCTGCCAACAACGACATCGATCGCGATTCCACTCGCCACGATCCGGGCGTGGAGATCGCTCCCAGTGGCGAGATCTCTGGCGGAGGAGCACGCGCCCAGGATGGCGAGGAAGGTTACATCGTCCGGCTTCACGCCCTCGAGATCCATCCGGCGGAAGAGATCCAGCGCCTCCAGCAAATGCCCATTGCGGGCATACACAGCGAGCATCACAGTCCAGGAGAAAACGTTCCTCCAGCGCATCCGATCGAAGGTGGATCGCGCCTCGCCGACACTGCCGCAGCTGCCATACATCTGGATGAGGTGATTCGCGAGGAACCGGTCGAGATTGCCGTTGCTGGCGATGGATTCGTGGAGCCGCCGCCCCTCTTTCAGGTCGCCTGTGGCGCCGCATTGCCGGATGAGGGATGCGAGGTAGCTGTGGGGTTTCTGGGGATCTGCGAGAGTGGAGGATGTGGAGAAGGCCGCCCGGGCCAGGAGCCTCATCGAGAGCTCTCCATTTCAAATTCTAGGTGACCGCCATCGCCATAGCGAAGAACCCTAATTAGGGTTTATGGTGTCCATTCTATCTATGACGCAGTTTCTCCGTCCAGCGCTTGCGTCTCTTTCCGCTGCGGCATTTGCTGGATGCATTGGAGCTAAGGTATGGAATTCGAGATTTCGATCTACATTCTCCTGGAATTCTTCGTTTTTTCATGATTACGAATTTCTAGCTTGGGATTCTTCTTTTTTTCTTAGATATTTCTAGCTACATTTTGCTGAAATTCTTTCTTTTTGTTCTTAAGCATGGATGCAAGGCTCTTTGCTCGATTCCAGAGCAAAATCAAACGACCTTGCAAGCTGCTATTGCTGCTGGGAAAGGTCCGACTTTGATTGCTTTCTATGCGGATCATCACGTCGTGCCTCTGCCGAAAGGACACAGGTTTCCCATGGACAAGTGAGTGAGTGTTCTTCGGGCAAAACAAAGCTAGAACCAATTATCTTTGGTGCTCTTTCAGGTATAGAGCGACAAGGATGATCTTAGAAGAAGATTTGCTACTGCGGAATTTGCTCACTACTTTTCCAGCTCCATTGGCAACTGAGAACGAGCTCTGTCTTGTTCACAGTGAAAGGTATGGACGGACTTTAGCTTTGAATCTTTGTTTGATTTTCTTCTTTGGAATTGTTTCTTCCAGCTATGTGCAACGAGTGTTTAGCGGTGATTTGAACGAGCGTGAACAGAGAGAACTAGGCTTTCCATGGAGTCGAGAACTTGTTGCTCGTTCTCGCTGCTCGTCCGGGTAAAGTTTTTTCTTCTTGTATCCTCATTTTTTGTGGGATAACTATGAGAGTTATAGAAAGAAAAAATCATGTCTTTCAGGGGAACGCTAGCAGCAATGCACGCTGTCATGCTCGGATTGCGGAGAGCAGCTGCAAACATTGCTGGTGGAACTCATCACGCATTTCCTGAGCACGGCGAGGGATTTTGTAAGTTTTTTCTGTTTTCTTCTTCTTCTTTTTTGTTCTTTTTTCTAACGGGATTTGATCGATCCAATGCAGGTGTTTTCAACGACATTTCTGTCGCTGCAGTAGCTGCTCTGGAAGCTTATCCATCTCGTTGTAATTTAGCTTCTCCAGTTCTGGTCATAGATCTCGATGTCCATCAGGTGTGCTTTTTTATTTATCTTCCTTTATTTATATCCAACATTCGATTTTACGTTCTGGCTCTCACAGGGAAATGGTACTGCTCAAATATTTGAGAACGATAAAAGAGTGATTACTTTCAGTATTCAAGGAGCAAATAACTATCCATGGCGAACCAGGATGAAGTCTGACTACGATGTGGATTTACCAGACAAAACCGGTGACGAGGAATACGTCTCAATTCTCAAAGACTGGCTTGACAAGCTCTTCCAAATTCACAGCCCCGGGCTCGTTTTCTTCCAGGTAATCTATAATCCTTTTCAAGCTTTTTAAACTTTCAGTTTTTTCCAGGCCGGTGTTGATGCATTGCGAGAGGATAGTTTTGGTCGTCTCAATTTGTCCAGGTAATTGTTTTGTCTATCTTCCCACCGAGCGTAGCTTGACAACATTCCATTCGCTTCCAGGCAAGGTTTGCTCCAGAGAAACAATTTGGTCTATAGTTCTTGTATGCAATGTAGCGTTCCACTTGTGATCACAATGGGCGGTGGCTATTCACGGCCACACACTGGTAAAAAACAACTTTGCGTTTTTCACCTACTTCACTTCTAGCTGAAAACTCGCTAAATACGCTAAGTCTCTGTGACAGTATCCGTCCAAGCTCATGCCGATGTGTATCGCTCCGCTGCTCTCAGATACGGCATCGGGACACTAGCCACAGACTAGAACACAGAAGAATCGCTCACAAAGTAAGCAAAAAGAAAAGAAACAAAACCACACTTTTATTTTTCAAGGTGATGAGAACAAGTTTTATTACATTCGCGCGGCAAGCACCATCAACTAACACTTACTTGACAGGAAGCCGAGCATGATGGAGAAAACGTTGGAACTTCTACTTGGATTTGGAGCAGCTCGTCGGGTATCCATCGAGCTTGCAGCGCTTGGGAATGGTTGCCGCGACTGGAGCATCGATGGTGAATCCAGCGGCCTGTGCCGCGGCGATGGTGCTGCACAGGCAAGCCGGATCATCCTTAAACTTGCCAACGGCGGTGCAGCACTCGGTGGAGGGCGTGGACGTTTCGCTCTGAGCCGCTGCCTGGCACGGTAACAGGTCCGCTATGTTGTTCTTGCATTCTGCCGCTGATACAATCGCCACTGTCGCCGCCAGGAACAAGACCACGAGCGCAAGCTTTGCGAGAGCCATGGATACAAAAGAAGAAGAAAATCTCGCGAGAACTAAAGCTGTGAAGAAAGTATGAGCTCCTTTAAGCTTTGTGAGGAGCTGAGAAGCAAGGTACGAATTTATATAGCCCGTGAAATGCAAGCTTGGTTTGATCTACAAGGTGTGGACTCGGGAGTTTGTAACGCATTCTCGCCAGGAATCATGGGTGTAAGCTTCCCCCTCTTGACGAATGGAAGGTATTTGCACGCAATGGGATTCTCTCCCTCTCTTATTTGAGATTCTCGCGATAATGTTTGCGATGATCATCATCTATCTGATCAAAGCTTTGCTCGTAGAAATTTTTCTAGCGAAGGAATCGAAGAACAGTACTAGTTTTTAAGAATTGTATAAGAGAAAGACCCTTCGTCCTCCTCTCGACCACCACCTCGGTAATCCGTCCATATAACTCTCGCCCGCGACGCAATCTTCTGGCTCCTCTCGATCACCGCGGGCGTGAGAGGATGCGTGTCGCTGGGCATGAAAGCCTCTGGGCTGCCTCTCTCACGCTCTTGCCTGGCAGGAACTACATTCGACCACCAAAACTCACTCATCACCCGGAAGATCAATCCCCAGTAGTCTCGGTCTCTCTTGATCCTCAGCACGCTGCTCACGCCCGGCGTCCAGAAGTAGAAATCGAGCCACTCCCGGTCGAGGATCTCCATCAATCCCTGCGCTTGAGGAACGTAGAAGTATGGAAGTGTGAGCGGGCATGGAAGGACTTTGCGATGCGGGCACTTGACTTCCAAAATGCCACCACCACCGCTGTTCTTCGCGAGGAGTTTCCCTTCTCCCAAAATCCCATCACCACCACTGTTCTTCCTTTCTTCTTCCAGAATCTCACTAAGTCCACTGTTCTTCTTGAGAGTTTCTTCTCCTTCTTCTTCCTCCACAAGACCGTCCGGCAATCCTCCAAGCCAATCGTAGAGCTCATCGTTCTCCTTGTAGATCGTGAACACTGTGTCGCGGTTGACGATGTTCCCCGTGATCTTGGAGTATTTCTCGATGGCTTCCACTTCGTTGCCAAGTCCCCACATCATCGCAGCCTCCCTGGGAGAAGAAGTCCTTGGAGCCCAAGCCCAGGAACTCATCTCTGCCTTGAGAAATCGCTCATCCGGACCTCCATTCAATCGGTCCTTGCCACTGACGACGAGCTCCGCGGATCTTCCATCCAGGAGGCCAGACTTTTGCTGCCAGAGCTTGAATCGCTGGCCCTTCCACAGTCCCAGCGCTCGTCCGAAGTGGCAGGCTGTGAGCCTTGGCTTTGTTTGCGGCGGTGCCGCCCGAGGAGCTGGGACATCGCCATCGTCATGTTGCTCGCTTCTTCTTTCCAGGGATTCCAGGCGGCGATCGAGCTGCTGGAGAGATTGGAAGCCCCGGGGATGCTTTCCAGGCAAGGCCAGGTTACACATTGTCGATCAACTGGCTGCTAATACAAGAATATTATCACTTCCTATATATCCAAGCGCTTTTCTTTCCTGGAGAGCCAAGAAATCTAAGACAAGAAAAATCCAGAGAGTATCTTTGTTCTTGATGTTCATTCCAACGGTCTTCTTTTTTACTCATCCAATAAAATAGAGAAAGGTATGCCTTTGAATATAATTTTACAGTTTTAGGTTATTATTGGTTAGTAATCAATTTATAATAACTTATAATGACATTTTATAGTGAGACCAAAAAGTTGTCAACGTAGAGAAGTTACTCGACCATCAACGCTACCATGCAAGCTTGGTTCTACACTGATCTCACTGGATGGACGAGTTTTCGAATTGAACCGTAGTGCAATCTATTCAATGGCAGCTTTAGCCTGATCATCTTTTACCACTAATCCCCACCAGCACCGCTACTGCTCGAGCTGCTGATGCTACTGCTGTTTGCTGCTGCATCTCCACTCCACCTCACACCTTCCGGCCAAGCTTCCTCAGCACCTCCATCGTTATCGGAAAAATCCTCATAGTCGCAGAGCAAGTGCCATAATGAATATTAGTGTGTGCATCTCTGTTAAGGCAAAATTTATAAAACTGTTTGAACAAACATGCTGGATCCATATCCTTTTAACTCCGAGTAATGCCAGGAGAAATCCTTATACCATTCATGAGAGTATAGTCACTTTTGTAGTAGCCCTTTGTCGGTAGTTGTCAATTGTTCTTGAGGACCTGTGGTGAAGAGGATGATTCCAGGCCAAGATTCACTTTCAATCACAAAGATTCATAAGTAATTGTTGCTAGAAATGTGATAGCATTAGAAAAAACTTTCCTAATATCATTCCTCCAAAGCTAACTGAAGGTATAAAATTGAACTCTCTTCTTGACATGCCTAGTCCATCGCAAAGGTGTTCAGCTTGCTATCCATGCAACACTCAAACACACTTAAGTTCCTAGCAACAGAACCAACAATGTCGATATGAGAGAGAGAAACACCAAAGCAATACTCTTTTATTTCTCATAATTATTCATAACAATTTTGCTATCTCACACCATGCTCTCCGTCTCCACTATGCTCTTTTTTGAACATCTTTTCCATACTATTTTAATTATAACCTCTCCATTATTTTTTCTCATATAGTTCTCTCCTCCAATCAAACTTCCAGCATATAAAGTAATGCCAAATAATAAAGTAACTTCATCTTCTTCAAACATTCCACACATTCTTCTTTTTTAATAAATAAAAGTCGAGATATAAAATAAAGCATATAATTATACTCAGATTTGGCACTACTACCGTTGTCTCGTGAATCTCTAAGAAATGGTATGGGTTCAGAATCAGAGGTGGTGATCAGGAGGAGTGAATGATGAAGGGGCTGATATGTGCAATGAAAGGTTCAAGATATTTGTGAAGAACTATTGCAGAGGATACCTTCGTCTCTGAAGGGAACTAGTTCCCTCAGTTTGAGTTGCGAAATTGCTCGTAAGCGCTGCGGAGTACTTTCCTGAGCATCGAAGTGCTTGCACAGCGGCTCAACTTTGGAAAGAACCGACAGCCCGAGAAGCTCTAATGCGTTGATCTGACCACGGAGACGAGGGATAAAGGTAAGAAGAGGAAATCGAGAACGTAGAAAGATGGCCGCATATTTCTTTTATCGTCAAAGAACTTCATAGCCGAAGAAGAGCGCTTTTAGAGCCTATAGCGCGACGAGCTATTGCTTCTGGCGAGACCATTGTACATGAACGATGACGATGGCATTTGGTTTGTCGAATTTACAGGGATGTTGCTTTGCGTCGAAGAAAAGTAAGTGGAAATCCCTTCCCCAAAGTAGCGTCGTCGAATTAACTGGAAGAACACACACATAAGAAAAGAGCGAGAATTTGATCCAAGAGGAAGAATGATACCATCGAGAAAAAATCGTCGATTGCTTCCATGTCCAGTTCTCCGTCCTTTGCTGCCTGGAAAGAGAAAAACAAACCATCAAAGCCATAAAAAAAACCTTTCGAGAGAGCTATGAAGAGAACTAGTCATTCGATGCAAACTTCATCAACTGCTGATAAGAGAATGAGATCCTTTCCTTGTCAACTTTAGAGAATTCTTACAGATTTCGAGAAGGAAACATACCGCTCGAAGACCTTGAGTTCCAGGGAATGTTTCCGACGTGGGAAGCTCGTCCGTTGGAGAGAGGAGGCCTTGCTTCTCGACCCAATGCCTTGCAGCGTCAACGAGATTGCCACTGCTACCACCAGCCTTTGGAGCAATGTCGGCCTTGTTGCCAATCACCAGGAACGGCACTGGGACGAGTCCCATGCCAGACGATGGCAGCGGTGCCGAGAAATGGCCCAGAGAGGCTACTTCTCTCGCCCACTTCTGGAGGCTGCTCTTGGTCTTTCGCTGAGACAAGTCATGAACAAAAATGATCCCTGGTGTCAGTAGAGAACCATCTTAGAAAAACCGAAGAGAAAAAAGATGAAGAAGCTTACCATTGATCTGCGAGTAGAAGAGAGAGCGGCAATCCTTGTACCACTCGTTCCCCGAGACGTCCCAGAGCTCCACGAAGAAATCCTGGAAGCTGTTTGCCAGTGACCCTTCGCTAGTGTGTTGGATGTGCTGCCAAGAGCAGTAATGAGAGAGAGAGAGAGAGAGAGAGAGAGAGAATGGACATCGATACCTTGACGTGAACCGTGCATCCAATCGTCCGCGCGACGTCCTTGCCGCAGCTCCCATCCACAATCAGCTGCGCGAGCGAGGATTTCCCGACCCCTAGAGGCGAGAGATCCCTCGGCCGTGATCTTGAAATTTCGAGAAAACCAAGAGCAGAGCTCACCTGCGTCGCCGACGATGAGGACGCGCACCTGGCCTGTCGGCGGCAGCGCCTCCTCCTTCGCCCTCCTGTACATACTTGCTCCTCCCTCAGCTCGGCGGCATTTTGGCAAAACCCTAAACCGAAGTTCTTTCTATAGATGCAACCATTGCAAGCTTCACTTTCTATCAAGTTGAAGTGTTGTCAAAGTGATGACACACGAATGTAAAACAAATCCCAAGTAGAAGTTCAATTAAGCTGCTGAAGTGAATTGTTTCCAAAGTGATGACACACTAATGTTACCAAGAACAAAAAGTGTGGTTTGGTTGTGGCTAGAAATCAACAACTGTAGCTGGAAATTGATTAAGTTAGATAGGTTCAAAAAGTATACAAAACTCGAAAAATAATGTGAATGCAAAATGTGATTTTCTTAAATTAAAAATTGTAACTTATAATCAATTTCACAGCAATCTAAATTCCACCAAGTTAAATTTTACTATATAAATTTATATAAAGACGTATATCAATGTAATCCAAACAAAGATGAAAAACAATTATCACTTTCTTACAATTATACCTTCTAATATTATATGGCAATTTGCATTTGACAAATTGAAATAAACTAAAACAAATTAAAAATAATTAAATAACATGAATGGGCATTTGATTTTGTGAAGAAAAATAGTGTCTTATTATTTAGTCTAGAATGACTATTGATTAGGTATAGATGCTTCCATTCATGTGATTAGTAGTAATTATTGGTCATTATATTAAATTTGATGAGTGTTAGAAATTTATTTTTAATATTGTTTTGTTAATTGGCATTAACATTTGTGTTATAGAACACTGTAATTTAATTTATATATTTTTAGTTTATTTCATTTTTTAAAAAAAAAATTTGATTAAAAAAAATGGATGTCCTTTAATCTTTAAGGGAACGGAAGCACAAAACTTTTTTTTATTAGAAGATTGGCTCGATTCTACCAGGAAATTATTGGCACCGCATAACACTGTAAAGAACTAGAGACGCCAAAAACCTTAATGTTTGCTAGGGCAATGGGCCATTAATAGATAATAAAATATATTTATTAAATAAATTTAATAAAGATAATTTTTTAAAAATAATTTATAAACACCTTTCATATATAGATATAATATTACCTATTTGTTGATATAATATTGCCTATTTGTTGCAACAGATTAATTTTTTAGGGCTTTATTGTGGACAAAAATAAAATAAATTCAATGATGTACAGCAAACCACAAATATGGAATTTTTATATTTTAAATCGCATTTAGTGCTATTTTATCTTTTCATTTATAAATTTTTTGTGCAATAGTGGTCATTTGGAAAGGTTTACGTGGTATGTGAAAAAACAACTGTACAAATATTGACATTTCATGAAAATGATGTAATACACTTTTTGTATTGCAATTGCTTAGTTTTTTGAATTTTTTCGAACTTGTGATTGTAATTCAACACTAAAGAATGAGTTATTGAATGTTATTTTTGCATAAAATAATCTTTCTTTATAATTTTAATTTAGTGTTTTTAGAATGATTGTTACATATAGATTTTCTGAGTTCGTTTACAATTAAAAGGTTGTAAAGGTTATATTTTTTGAAATAAATACATTAACCCCTCAAAATAAAGAATAATTTTAACTAATTATTTTCTTGTGCATGAGTGGTCCTTTGGAAAAAATGTGTGATTTGTGAAAAGTATAACTTCACAAATATTGACATTTCATGAAAATGGTGTAATACACTTTTAACTATGTTGCGGCGACTCAATTCTTTAAATCATTTTAAGCTCATAATTGTAATCCAAGCATTAAAGAATGAAATATTGAATGTTGTTCTTGCCTAAAATAATCCTTTTTTATACGTTTTAATTTTTTTTTTGAGGTGATTGTCACATATAAGATTTTTGAGCTTGTTTACAATCAAAAGGTTGTAAAGACAATTTTTTTTGAGACTAATACATTAACCCCTTAAAATAAAGACCAATTTTAAATAATTATTTTGATATCTTCCTATTTAAATATGTTAATTTTTAATGTCAATCAAAATAAATTAATTAACTATATACATACATACAGACGTATATATATATGTATATATATATATATATAACACTATAGTAATCACCTATATTTTAAAATAAAATTTAAGTTTTATTTGATTGATATTAAATATTTTATAATTTTTTATATTATGTTAAATTTATTTCAACATTATTTTAATGATGATATATTGATTCTTACTTATTAGCTTTACTAGATTTGTAAACTTTTTGAACAAAATACTTTTATATTAATTTTAAATATAGTAATAAACTAAATAAAGAAGGAAACATTTGGTATCAAATATGTAATAGATTTTTATGATTAAAATTTTTTTGTAACAATTTAGAAAATTCTTAATTTTTTAATATACTTTTCCTTAATTTAATATTACTTTTATTTTAATAAATATCATCTCAATTTGTTTTATAATATATATTAATTAAATAATTGGAACTCAAGCTCTCAAAATCTATAATTCTCTAAAGTTGACAAGGAAAGGATTTCATTCTCTTATCCATTCCAGGCAGCAAAGGATGGAAAGCTGGACATAGAGTACAAGCAATCAACATTTTTTTCTTGATGGTATGAGCATTATTTCGTTCTTCCTCTTGGATCAAATTCTCGCTCTTTTCTTTTTGTGTGTTCTCTTCCAAGGGATTTCCACTTTTTCTTCGACGCATCCCTGTAAATTCGACAAACCAAATGCCATCGTCATCGTTCCTGTATAATGGACTCGCCAGAAACAATAGCTCGCCACGCTATAGGCTCTAATATAAAGTGCTCTTGCGAGAACATCAAGAGAAGAATGAGACTATCTCCAGAGATTTGCTACGGATGCCTCGAGCCTGTTGATGTCTACGTCGTTGCAGCCGGTGCACGACCGACTGGCAATGTCGGCTATGAAGTTCTTGACGACGGTCACAGTAAGAGCGTGCATCATGCGCTCTTTAGCGGCGCTGAAATCCGTATTATTAACATAATAATATGCGGCCATCTTTCTATATTCTCGATTTCCTCTTCCTGCCTATGGAGGACCCACTCAGATCAACGCAGTAGAGCTTCTCAGGCTGTCGGTTCTTTCCAAAGTTGATCCGCTGCGCAAACACTTGGATGGTCGACCTTCCAAAATACATTGACACGAAAACACTCCGCTTGTTCCCAAGCTCCATGTTTTCGCTTATGTCAAAGATGTACTTCCCCAGCCTCTTGCAGCCCGGATCAGTGACGTAGCTTGGAGCAATTTCGCCACTCGAACTGAATAACTCTATCGTCATTGATCTCTGCTTCGCGAATGACGGACCTAAGTTCCTTTCAGAGACGAATGTGTCCTCTGCAATAGATTCCCCGTTCTTCACAAATATCTGGAACTTTTTATCGCACATATCAGCTCCTTCATCATTCACGAACTTGTACTCCTCCCGATCACCCTCCTGAAACCTCTGCGCGGTCCTCAAGCCATACCATTTCTTGGAGATTCTCGAGACAACGGCAGCGGTGCCAAATCCGAGTGCCACTGCGCCTTTGCATATGGCAGCACCTGGAGATGGAGGAGCGATCACCTCTCTCGTTACGCCAGCGTTACTCGAGTTGTACTTCTCAGTGATCTTTTTCACGAGGTAAGGACTCTCAGCAAATCCGCCAACCAGAAAGACGTGCTGGATCATCGTGTCACGACAATGAGAGAGCTGCTTGTCGATGAGAGCTGCAACTTTTTCGATCTCGGTGTCAAAGATGCCCCTCAGCTCTTCTTCGCTGAGCTTGATCTCCTCGTAGTACTCCTCGTCATGACCCTCTGCGCATCCCAGCTGCTCATCAAACTTCTTCCATGCCTTTGAGAGCTTCCGCGGCAGCTCATATAGTTTGAAACCCGTTCCATCGAAGCTACTCTTTCCAAGAGACCCCAGCCACCACCGTGTGATCTTGTGAAGCGTCTCTGGATCGTCAAAGCTCTCTAAGCACCCAATCTTTCTTTTGAGCAAGCCCAGGAAGTTTTTGTCGACGTACGTCCCTCCTCCCAGCTCCCCGGAACTGGCTGAAACCTCACGCACCTCGTATGATGATCCACCCTCGACTTTCTCGTGCACCACCAAGTCGATCGTCCCACCACCAACATCCACGGTGAGAAACTTGTCACCATTGCACAGGATTGCCGTGTCTTTGAGCTGCTTCTGGCAGTAAAACGACGCTGCCTCTGGCTCGAGAACTATCTTGAGAGGGAATGAACTCGCCTCGGAGCTGGAGCAATGCTTCCCCTTCACGATCCCTGCCTTCTCTGCATAAATCTCCATCTTGCGTTTGGACGCATCGCTCCAGATCGCAGGCACGGAGAGACACCAGGCAACCTCTTCTCGGAGCAGGCACGAGCCATACTTTTGCCGGAGATGCCCTCCAATAAACTCGGAGATGCAACCGAGATAATCCACTATGAGCTTTTCCGCAGTCGCCCAACCCGGAAGAACCTCCAGCATACTCTTCGCGAGCTCGCCATCTTCGAGAATGGGCTTGAACTTGGACACTAGGAGACCCACCTCGCCTTGGCCAGTGCTGGAGGAAACCTGGAGAGCTTCCGAGTAGGCTTTGAGCGCGCTCCATCCCCAAGCAAGAAGCTCTCCCGCTGGAGAGTAGAACAAGCTGGTCTGCGTCTTGCAGTATGGCCTGCCGGCATCTGGCCAGTCGTAGAAGCTTTGCACATCATCCGGATCAGAGCGATGCGCGAACGAGAAGCCGGAAAATGTAGTCCCAAAATCTAAGCCCACTATCACCTTTGGTTGGGAAGAACGAGAGCTGGAAGCCATAGCCACACACACCGCTACCACCACCGAGAAACTATCAGCCGATTCTCATTAATTACAAGTCGAGGAATTTAAGATCCTTATGATCTTTCTTGAAAAACATAAAAATGTAGGCTCTCCTTCCTACCTATTTGTTTTCTGGAAAAGCTCTGGCCGATCTTTTCATCGCAGCCATGAGAGCTTGAAAACGACCATCTTGAGTTCCTTAAAAGGTTTCGGAATCACCGGGCCATATATCTTTGTAGAGAAGAAGCCTGCACAAACCTTTAGATTTTGTCGCAAAGTTAGCTCTCATCGACAAGCAGCTGACTTCCACCATCAAGCGTTTGCAAGAATTCTTATCTCGTGACAAGGATCACGATCGATCCTCACTGTGGATGAAAAGATACTTTTAATCCCCAGCTCAAGAATTTCTTCTGGAGAGAAATGGTACACAAAAGTTTTAACTATGAAGGCTGCCTGGAAAGAGAAAACAAACCATCAAAACCATCAAAACCTTTCGAGAGCTATATAGAAAACTTATAGATTTCGAGAAGGAAACATACTGCTCGAATCCATGGTAAGTTTCCGACATAGGAAGTCCCGAGGAGATCAAGTTCAGTGAAGAACATCTTTGATATGGAAGCAATTGAGAATTATTTTGTTCTTCCAAATTCTCGCTGTCTTTTTTTTGGGTGTGTTTTCATCCTTTTGATTCGACGAGGATACTTCTCTAAGCAACATCACTGTAAATTCGACAAACCAAATCCCATCGTCACCATTCCTGTACAAGGGACTCGCCAGTGAGTAGGTTCTAATATAAAGCGCTCTTCTTTGTTTGCTAGATTAGGGTTTATCCAAGGCTGTGTAGGGTTTTGCGAGGAGCGGCGAGGAGGGATTCTGGCGCTTATGCGGCGTTCGCCGACTCCATGGCGGTAAATCTCTCTGAGGCCTTTCTCTATACTCTAGCGCCGGATCCAGAGCCAAGAAAGAAGGCGGAGCTCTATCTCGCCAACGCCTCGGCCCAGCCCGGCTATGGCGTCGCTGTTCTCCAGCTTCTTGGCGAGGCGGCGGTGGACGATCAGGTGCGGCAAGCGGCGGCCGTGCATTTCAAGAACCATGTCAAGTTCCGATGGAATCCCGGCGAGTTGGAGGCGAATTTGCGGATCCAGGACAGCGAGAAGGAGCAGATCAAGGGGTACGTGGTCAGGCTGATGCTCAGCTCGTCGCCCAAGATCCAGAGCCAGCTGAGCGAAGCTCTCGCGATCATCAGCAGCCATGATTTCCCGAGCAACTGGAAGGGGCTCCTCCCGGAGCTTGTTGGGAGTTTGTCAACTTCGACAAGCTACGCTACCATCAACGGGATCTTGCAAGCTCTCAACTCCATCTTCAAGAAGTTTAGATATGGATACAAGAGCGTGGAGCTCTACACCGATCTCAAGTACTGCCTGGATGGTTTTGCCGCGCCGCTGCTGGAGATTTTCACCAAGACCGGGGAACAGATCAAGGCTACGCAGGATCCTGCGACGCTCCGGCCGCTGTTCGAGTGCCAGAGGCTGTGCTGCCGGATCTTCTACTCGCTCAACTCGCAGGAGCTCCCGGAGTTTTTCGAGAACCACATGAGAGAGTGGATGGACCAGTTTCAGTACTATCTCATGTACTCCAACCCGGCTCTGGCGGAGAGGGATGCCGAGAAGGAGAGCGTCGTGGATCAGCTCAAGACTGCCGTTTGCGAGAACATAAACCTTTACATGGAGAAGAACGAGGAGGAGTTTAGAGACTATCTCCAGAGATTTGCGACGGATGTCTGGAACCTGTTGATGTCTACGTCGCTGCAGCCAGCGCACGACCGACTGGCAATGTCGGCTATGAAGTTCTTGACGACGGTCAGTAAGAGCGTGCATCATGCGCTCTTTAGCGGTGCGGACACCCTGAGACAGATTTGCGAAAGTATCGCCATCCCAAACGTTAGAAGTAAGTATATTTCTCTCTTAGTTTTATTTTTTTCTTCATGTCGAGCTCACGTTTCTCTGCTGCTTTACAGTTAGAGCGGAAGATGAGGAGCTTTTCGAATTGAATCCTCTGGAGTACATAAGAAGAGACATCGAGGGAAGTGACACGGATACCAGAAGGCGTATAGCTTGCGAGCTTGTGAAGGGGCTTATGCTGCGGTACAGGGACCAAGTTACTGGTTTGGTTTCCGGCTACTTAGGACAGCTAGGTGCGAGTTACTCTGCAAATCCGACAGGGAACTGGAAAGACAAGGATACGGCCATCTACTTGATCGTCGCCTTGGCACAGAAGCAGCCTTTGACTGGAGCTGTGACAACCGATCTTGTCAACGTAGAGCAGTTCCTTGCGTCGCAAATCAACCCCGAGCTTCGAGGCTCAACCGATATCCTCGTGGCTGATGCGCTCAAGTTCATCACGACCTTCAGGAGCGCCGTGCCGAAACCGGTAGTCTTGGAACTGATGCCGCAGATCATCCAGCTCTTGATCAGCTCAACCAACGTGGTGCACTCGTATGCTGCTGGGTGTGTGGAAAAGCTGCTACTGGTCAGAGACGGAGGAGTGCCACGCTATTCTTCGGCAGACCTCGCTCCTTTTCAGAGCCAGCTCCTGGCCAACGCGCTCAGTGCCTTGCAATTCCCAGACTCTCAGGAGAATCCCTACGTGATGAAGTGCATCATGAGAGTTCTCTCCGTGGCGGAGGTTGGCCCGATGTCCGTGAAATACTTGGACGACCTCGTGGGGATTCTCGGCAAGGTATGCAGGAACCCGACCAATCCGACGTTCAACCATTACATCTTTGAGTCGGTGTCCGTGCTCGTGAGGAAGGCTTGTGAACGGGACCAAGAAGTGGTGATGGCCTTCGAAGGGAAGCTGTTTCCGGTGTTTCAGTTCATCCTCCAGAACGACGTTGCCGAGTTCCAGCCGTACGCGTTTCAGATACTTGCACAGCTGATCGAGTCGAGGGGCCAGCCTATTCCCAGGGAGTACCTGGTGATTTTTCCGGTGCTGATCGACCAGAGATTCTGGCAGAAGTCGGCCAACGTTCCTGCCATCATCCGGCTTCTCCAGGCCTTCCTGCTCAAAGCACCTCGGGAGATAGCACAGGGAAACCAACTGCAGGAGGTCTACAACGTTTTCAGTAGGCTGGTGTCCCGGAAGAGCACGGAGGACTACGCATTTTACATCGCCAACGCGATGGTGGAGAGCCTCAGCCAGGACTTGCTCATGCCGATCGTCCCGCATCTATGGACGGCCTTCTTCTCCCGGCTCATGGGAGAGCACCGCACCGTCAAGTTCCTCAAGCTGCTGGTGCTCTTCATGTCGCTCTTCACGGTGAAGCACGGCCAAGCGGTGCTGGTCGACTCGGTGAACAAAGTGAGCCCGACGCAGCCGCGGCTCTTCATGGACGTGCTGCAGCAGTTTTGGATCCCGACGCTGAGTTCCATCTCTGGAAGCATCGAGACGAAGCTGTGCGCCGTGGCATCGACGAGGCTTTTGTGCGAGTCGGCTCTACTGCTCGCGGAGGATCAGCTCTGGGGGAAGCTCCTCAACAACGTGGTGGTGTTGCTGGTGAGGCCAGAGGAGGAAAGAGTGGCGGAAGAAACCGATGTTCCGGAGCTGGACCAGGTGACCGGGTATGGTGGAGTCTACGCGCAGCTCCACCACGCTGGGAAGAAGGACGATGATCCTCTCAAGGAGATCAAGGACGCCAAGGAGTACCTTTGCCACTCGCTCAACAGGCTCTCGATGCAGTACCCGGGCAAATTCCCGGGAGTGATCCAGCAGCATCTCGACGCAGGCAACCAGGAAGCGCTACGCCAGATGTGTAACGCGTACCGGACTACAATCGTCTAGAACTCGAAACGAGGTACTCGAAAGATCTTTGGTATTTTAGTTCTCGTTCTCGTCATCGTTTTTCTCTCTCGCAGGTAGCGAGTTGTTGCTAGTGGAATTGCCAGCTACAATCGTCTAGAACTCCAGGTACTCGAAGATCTTAGCGTTCTCGTCATCGTTTTGTCTCTCGCAGGTATCGGTTCTTCGAATTGTTGCTTGAGTGGGGATTGTTCTTCGAGCTTCTTGGCGTTTGGATCGGAGTGAGTCGTCTGTTTCCATCGATCGAGTCGAGCTTCCTGTGATTTGGATCGAGCTTCTTGTCATTTTGATCGGATGAGTTTGTTTGGAATGAATGGAAAGAAAGACCAAATTTTAAATCGTTCGAATATTATTTGTCGCTCGAGTTTTAAGTTTTAGGGTTCTTTGAATCGAGTTTAATGTTTTAGGGTTCTTCAGTGGTGGGATCCCAATTCTCGCGACGGGGGAGGTTGGATTTCGATGGCGAGCAATGGCGCGGCATCGTCATCGAGCGCGACAGCGACGACGACGGTGACGCTGCAACAGCCGCGGCAACCGGAGAGGCTGACGCTGCGCCTGGCGCCGCGGCGCAAGAAGAAGGTGAGTTGGAAGGCGGACACTGTCGACAACGAGTTCTTGGACAAGAAGAGCTCCAAGATTTGCTGCATTTTCCACAAGGAGGAGGAATTCACGGACAGCAGCAGCAGCGAAGACGATGGCGATCCGGGCGATGAGAAGAAGAAGATGAAGAAGAAGGAGAAATTGGAACGGAAGAGCTCGAGAATGGATGGATCGTCCTCTTCCAAACACCATGAACACCACGAGTGTTGTAAGAAATAAGCTAGTCTCGGCCGTCGGTTGTTTCGAATCCAACGGTCCTCGTGCTTCTTGACGCCAAGGTTTCTGGTGATGGCGATGGCGCTGGCGCGCGCCCGGGTAGCGCATTTTGCGAGAGGCGCGGCCGGGATCGGCAGCGCGCATCACAGGAGGTAATGTGATCCATTTCGATCGATCGATTCTTCGTTGCTGATGGAAGCTAGGGTTTATCAGGGGCAATACGACCTCTATTCACGACTTTGATCTGTTTGGCAAAATGAAAGAGAGCTCGGGGCGCGTCGCCGTGGATGCGTAAGTTCTCTTTTTTTTACGGAAACTCCATTGGTTTCTTTCTTTTGCTTGAGGTTCTTTGTTTCTCTTGAGTTTTTTAAGAAAAAACTTGAGCCCTTGTTTTCCTTCTTCTATATTTTTTGCTTTGAGAACTTCTGTGTTTATTTGTTTCTCTTGCGTTTTATGAGAAGTTTGAGAACTCGAGCTCTTTTGTTTTCCTTCTTCTAGATTTTTTGCTTTGAGAACTTCTGTGTTTCTTTGTTTCTCCTGCGCTTTTTGAGAAGTTTGAGAACTTGAGCTCTTTTTATTTCTTTCTTCTAGATTCAACTTCGTTTTCTTTGTTTCTCTTGCGATTTTTGAGAAGTTTGAGAACTTTAAGCTCTTCTTTTTTCTATGGTGTTTTTTCTTTATGTTAATCTTTCTCACTTCTGTGCAGACTAAGTGAGGAAAGCTTCTCGGTGGATCAGGTCGAATATTTCGATTCAATCATATGCCTTAGCAAGTTTGTCCTGTCATGGACTCCGAAAACGTTTGAAGAAATCACCCCCGAAAGGTCTGTTTTCCTTTCTTTTCCTTCGTGCTAGTTTCTCTAAACTGAAACGATCGTCTTTGCAGCTTGGCGATTGTTGATCTACTGACTCCAACTCCAGGTTCTCCACTGAAACACTCCAGCTCTCGCAAACTTCTCTAATGTTTTCTCCATCTCCACAGAGATCTTGGTGCTCGGAACCGGGAACACGACGAAGTTTCCCAGCAAAGAAGTGAAGGAGTTTCTTAAATCCAGAAATATCAAGATCGAATCCGTCGATTCGGTACGTCTCGTAACAATTCCATTTTGTCCTCACTCGCAAAGTTTTTCTCCCTTCAAACAGAGGCATGCTGCCATCGCATTCAATTTCATGAACGTCGAGTGCCGCGACGTAGTGGCCGCAATGCTGCCTTGCGGCAAAGAACCCGAGCGCACCCATCCTTTCTAAGAACATGACACACTCCTTCGTCGCCAAAAGGTGCGTTTGCTCGATCCAATCCATCAATCACTTCAAGGATTCAGTCAGTACCAGAGAATCGAATTTTTTTTTTCTCCTGCCTTTTGCACACTCGTCAACTCTGCAGTGCCAAAACGGTGGAGAAAAGGAGAGAGAATGCAAAAAAAATGGAGGAAGAAAGCTTAAGTTACAATATAAACTGGCCCGACGCGTTCGTCTCGAGCGAAAGGAGAATGGGCAAAACGAAAAGAAAACAAGGAACAAGCCACGTACGGTGGACTGGTGCGTTGACTGGTGCTGGGATGGCGTTGGCTTGTCGCCCTGGGGCGCGACAGGGAGAATATCCCCCGGGAATACTTAATTCTCAGCGAGAGTGGAACACGTTACAAAGTCTTCACGCAATCTAACTGAGGTTGCCGCCGTTGCTTTGGACAAAACAAAACAAAACAAACAAAGAGATGGAAATCGAAATCCTGAGCTCTAAGTTAAGGTTTAAAGTCTAGTAATTAAACTGGTTGGGCATTTGCAACGTCTTGGCTTTAAAGGCAAAACATTCGTACCAGCATTCCCCAAAAGATCTACCGGGGCAAATACGATACGTCAGCCACAAGACGAGAGACGGTCATCAAGGGTATCATTCTTTGGTGTGAATGCGAAGAAAGAAAGAAAGAATCGCACACATTTGCATTGTCCCCCTCGGTTGCACAAACCATGTAAAAAGTATATGATATGCGGTCCACATATAAATTATCGTGCGCATGCATGGTACGCATTATAGCGGACACAACCGGATTTTCTTTCCATTCTTTTTTCCTCTTTTTTTCTCCTTTTGTCAGAATCAAAGTGTTTTTTCTTTTTTGGCTCTCGCATTGGTCGTGAGTGAGCGGACGAGTGGCCGGAACGGGGTTGAGCGACAATTTGATAATTGGGCCATCATAGGTGAGAAATGGCCACCGTTTCCCAATCAAAATAAAAATGGAGTAAGAGGAGAAAAAATGGGCCACAGAAAAGATGTGGATTTTCCCGGGCCCGCCACCAAACAAAGCCCGGGCGTCATCCGTGACATGTCCACCGTCATCCGTGACGCCACCCTTCACTTGGCGTGCACGGCAGGCCTCCCTCACGGGCGCACGGGAGTGGACGGGCCACGCCCGTCGGCCCGTCACGGCCGCCAACTGTGTGCGAAACGACGTGCGGAATATTTCATATGATGCCGTGTAGAATATTCCCTGCGCCGCGGCGAATATTCGCGCGTTTGACACGAGGTGTGCTGCTCTGCAGTAGCTTGCCTCTGGTGCGAAGCAACCGTGGGAGGCTTGTTTTTACTTTTTTTCCACTTCGTTTGTTGTTGTCCATCATCATCACTCATATATCTTGTGCATGTGCTATTGAGGCAGACGAGGCAAAAGTGGATAGAGTTTTGTTGACACATCAAAGTGTAGAGACCAAGCCAGTGTTACGGCGGTGACACGGGCAGATTAGATTCTACTCCAATTGGGCCTGATCCTTGCATCTCGAGTGCAAACAATTGCCCCCATTGTACAGATGGCTTTAGGGGAGAGAGATAAAGTTTTTAGTCGTATTAGAGGTTCTACCAACATGCCAAGGCACTTCATTCTGCCGAGCCAGCGAAGAAACCTTTGATCCAACAGCAACAGCAAGTGCAAGGATTTGGCGAGACTTTGTTGTTGTTGCTTGACAACTGGCGAGCGCTGAGAGAAACACCCACCCAAAAAAGAATCAAGCCTCTTGTCTTTCCACATCGTACAAAAGAATGTTGCCACCTTCGGGCAAATGCGGGCTTCCAAAGGCTTTCACCACGAGATCGCATATAGATCTCTCCTCTTTCGTTTTCAAGTTCCAGTCTCCGGCTAAGTGGAACATACAAGTAAAGTGCGCCACCTTTACAAGGAAAGGGGAGATGCAGTTTTCATTTGGTCAACACGGCAGCCTTTTGCATTACAAGACTAATTTATATTCTCTTATTCTACGCGAAGATTCTCGCTCTCCATTGTAGTGTGTGTTGTTTATGTGAGGCGCATTATAGACGGGCTATATAGGAAGGGAGAAGTCCTCCAGAATCATTCACTCTCTCACTCTTTCATTTTCTCCGAGAGGAGAAATTGGGTGTTGGTCTTTGGGCAAGTGCCGAAATGTTTGGAGGGAGCAATGGCAATGTTTGTTGGGTGGTCGGATGGGTTTGGACCCACAATTGCTGGTGTGAGGATTGAATGCACGAGCCCAGAAAAAAACCCAAAAGATTGGCGTGCTCCAGTGTGTATAGTCTGTGTGTGTGTGTGTGTGTGTGTGTGTGTGAAAGCAACGCAAACGCGGGAGAGAGACCAAATTGCAAAAGGGAGGAGCGATGGATGAGCGCTTGCTTGGCACTGAGTGTGCTTTTCGGGGCTTTGAAAGGCGACTAGACAGTGGAATGGATTGCGAATTCCATCCCCCAAATGGATTGATGGAGCTAGAGAGTTGTGGAGGGGATTGGGATAGATTTTCCTTTTTTTCTCTTCTTTATCTTGTCTCTTGCATCACGCTGCTGTCACCTTTGCTTTTCCTGCCCTAATCTTGGGCCGTTGACGGCTGTGACGCCAAAGGTGACGGAGCCCGCCACTAGAAACGCTACGAGCGGGCGATTGATTCGAATTGGATCCGGGATTGCCGTTGTCTGTCCTCTCCGGGCAGGCAACAACGCATTCTTGTGCCCCGCCGGGAAAAATGAATGCCGTGGTTTTTCCTTGGCCGAATTATTGCACTGCTTGGCTTGCTAAAGCCCAACAAAAAAAAAGAAAAGAAAAACGGAGATGCTTCCAGTCAGGAAACGCCTCAACCCTAAAGAAAATCCATCCGCCACCCGACCGTTTTTTGTCGCGCGCAAATAAATTCAAAGGTCAAGGAATATCCCCCGCACGGAGGGACGAGAGCATATTCCGGTAAAGACCAGAAGTATATGCCGTTGGTTCATCACTAGGTTTTTCACCGGCAAGCAATAGTATAAGTGGTAGGCTTTCTCGTAGTCCCTTGCTGTGGCGTGGCGGAGACTCCTGTCGTGGTAAAACGGAAAATGTACCGTGGGCAAACTTGGAGGGTTACGTGCAATCAAGGGGAAGGAGTTTGCTCACACGCGAGCGGGCGAGCAAGATAGAGATCGGCGAGAGCGAGATTCCATTTGCGCCAGGGGAATCATCCCGCTTGTTGGGGTGGCATCAAACACGGAATCTAGCTTAGTCTGCTGTTGCTTAACGAGGGAACCAGGCGAAAACATGCACCGTGCAGTTAGAGCCAATCCCTTAAAAAAAAGAAACCGCGAAAAAAAAGGAAGTATTATTTTAAAAATGGAAGGATGGAACACTCACAATCTATACGCCACTGCTGCCCCCTGCCAGGCTTTTCCCTTTGGGCTTTTGTAGCTTGGAAGATTGGGAACAAAAGTAACACCAAGGTGTGCAATCCAAGAGAAAAATGTTACTTTGAAGCAACCCCTATTAGTATATTCGCTTGGGGATCGATCTTTGCTCCATCCCCATCGATCAATCCATGCCAAGAACTTAGAATTCACGAAGTATAACAAACCTGGAAAGGCGTGCCACCACGGTCATTGTGTTTGTGTGTGTTGGAGCGATGATCCTTCCTTCCAGATCCAAGCTGTTACTTAGAAGCAATCGTCCAGATCGCTCTTCTAAAGTCTCGCTAGGGTTTCTTTTCTACCCGCGTTTGCTCACCAAACTTCCATAAACCCCTCACGGCAAACAAACATGTTGGACCTGTGTTCTCCGCGAGGAGATGCCGCCCGGATATTCCGCGGCCACTCGGCCGGGAATATTCGCCGGCCGGGGGACGTTTGACCCGCGCCCACGTCAGCGTCAGGGGAGCAATTACCCGGGGCCGGTAAACCCCGGTTGTCAAACGTTGTAACGAATCTACGGCTCGCATGCTGCCACAGTGGCGGGGATATTGATGACCCCGTGACCGCCGTCCATGTCAACGCCGCCTAGACGGCCGAGATCTGGCCAGCTCGCGGGAATAAAAAAGTACATTCCGTATGGTGGATCCGACGGCGCCCGCTGGAGGGTGCCATCCAACGGCCACCAGCCGACGGCAAAAGAAATGGGTTGTGTGTATAGTGTTGGCTATGGTGCTTGTCCTCTATCGGGGTTTGTTGTGTATTCTTGTTTCCTTCTTTTTTAGGGCGTGTGTTGAAATCCTTGAGAGTCTTTCCGTGTTGCGGAGCGATCATAGGAGCCAGATCGCATTTCTTGCAAGCGGCAGTGGATGATTCCCTTACTCTTTCCTTTTCTTCCTCTTTTTGGCCGATCTTGAGCTTTTTTAGCTCGCAAGACGCGATTTTCCTGCCCTTGCCCGGAGGAAAGGATCAAGATGAGCTCCGGATTCCCGCGACGCGCCTGGCAGGAGCGCTGTGGATCGAAAATCCGCCCGGAGCGTTCTTGAATCTTGTCGCGGCGCTAGTAGCATTCGTCTCGAGGACGCTCATCGCCAATGAGGACGAGAAGGGGGAACTATCCATCGCCGACGGACGGCATAATCTTTAGCATCAAGCCATACTCTCACAAGCGCCAGCGCCAGGGATCCTTCGACGCCGCCGAGCGGCCATGCAAGTTCTCGCGCGTCGCCGGATCCTCCAGGAAATCCACCACTCCATGCGCCTTCGATTTTGTCCCAGACGATCTCCTTGTCGACATCGCCATGGCGCTGGTCTCCACCGCCTCGTCGCCGGCCGATCTCTTCAACATGATGCTCATGTGAGTCTCGATCTCTCGAAATATCGCTCCTCTCGCTCGATCTCTTCCGAAATATCGCTCCTCTCGCTCTCCTCGCTCGATCTCTTCCGAAATATCGCTCCTCGCTCTCGATCTTTCCCCGACTCATCGCGCGCTGTGTGTTCTTCCAGATGCCGGAGATTCTGCGCCGCCGCGACGCATCCACAGGTCTTGGCCAGAGTATCGCCTCAAGCATTCGCTGTCAAGGCTGGGAGCTGGTCCGCGGGATCGCATCGATTCCTCAAGCAATGCGCCGACGTCGGCAATGTGGAAGCGCTCTACACGCTGGGAATGGTGAGTGAAGAGTAGCAATCAGTGTGTGAGAGAGTAGAGATCTCTTCTTCGTTCCATGCTTGGTTTTGGTTCAATAGCATAGGTTCCATGCTTGGTTTTGGTTCCTTAGTCGTGGATTCGTTGTTCTTCCTTCTCATGATAAGTGGTCTTTTGATGGGCAGATTCGCTTCTACTGCTTGAACAACAGCAGCGGCGCCTCATTGATGGCCAAGGCGGCGGTGGCGTCGCACGCCGCGGCGCTCCACTCCCTGGCGGTGATTCACTTCAATGGTAGCGGCGGGCGGCGAAAGGACAAGAACCTCAAAGCCGGGGTGGCGCTGTGCATGCGAGCGGCGTCGCTGGGTCACGTCGACGCCATCCGCGAGCTCGGGCACTGCCTCCAGGACGGCTATGGAGTTGTGAAGAACGTACTCCAGGGGCGGCGGCTGCTGCTCGAGGCCAACGCCCGGGAGGCGGCGGCGGCGGTGGCGGCCGCCTTCCCCAAGAACCTCATGGAGCTGGCGCTCAAGCGGACTTCTCGGACAGGCTGCGCCAGCTGCCCGCATCACAGGTTCTTCACGCTGCCGCCGTCGACCAAGGCGGACATCTTCCAAAAGGCGGTCTTGGACAGCGCTGGGATCGTCGCTGGTGGTGGTGGTGGTGGTGGAGGTGGTGGTGGTGGCGCTGGCGGCGGCGCCACCAATGCGAGTGCAGCAAATGCCATGGAGCGGCACCCGGTGTTCAAGCTGCTCCAAAACGGTGGCTGCGCGCTGCTGAGCGACTTCGGCTGCAACGTGCCCCCGGCCAAGGTGCACGTCGCCAACAAGTTTCTGGTGGAGTGGTTTGCGCTGCACCCGACGTCGGCGGCGGGGCTGCGCCTGTGCTCGCATGCAAACTGCGGGCGGCCCGAGACGAGGCGGCACGAGTTCCGGCGCTGCTCGGCGTGCGGCCGCGTCAACTACTGCTCGCGGGCGTGCCAGGCATTGGACTGGAAGCTGCGGCACAAGTACCATTGCATCCCGGTGGCCGACTGGGAGAACCGGGAGGACAGGCAATTGGACGGGGAGGAGAACCAGCGCGGTGGCGACGAGGCGGAGGAGGAGGAAGACGAGGAGGATGGCGATGACGACGAGATGGAGATTGGTCGCCAGGATAATCAACAGCCAGGGGAGGAGAGTCACGCGTACGATCTAGGAGGTGAGGATCACAGGTGAGACGAGCGAGAGATTGAGATCGAGAGAGAGAGAGAAGTGGGTTTTTTGGTTCTTCCCATCTTCTTCCTCCTCCTCTGTTAGCTCTCGAGGCACGCACGCACGCACACAACAAACTCGACACACAGATTGGATCGCCATCGCCATCGTCGTCATCGTCATCGACAAGAAGAGACGATCGATGGGGGGAATTTTTTTTTGCTCTCCCTCACACATGGAAACCGGGGAGGCGAGAGTTTTGTGTGTGGATGGATCCGTTAGTTGGGACTCTCGCCAAAGCGGTTATAGAGAAGAGAGAGAGAGAGAAGAGCTCTCTCTTGTTAGTCCAAAAGGAGGAGGCTAGCTCACACAAGCTCACAAGTTTGTTCTTTTCTCTTTGTGGTGTGAAGAAAAACAGTTTTTTCTCGTGTCATGTGGCCTGGAGCATATTCGAGGGGATATCCTTCGATATGGTATATTCCATGGACGCGAATATGCCAGGGGATTCTCTCTTTAGTAGTCTGTAACGCTCGGGGTTCTCTTGTAGTACTTGTCCCGCAAGAGGTTGGTCACGTTGTTACGTTGGCAGCCTTCCTCGATCATCCGCCTGTCCACCTTCTTGGCGAGGTGGTACTTTTGGCTCCTGCAATAGGCATCAATGAGCGCGTTGTAAACGTAAACGTTGGGCTTTTGTCCCGCCTTACGAAAGTCCTGTAGTGTTGGGTGCGTGCGTGAGAAAAAGGAAAAGAAATGCGCAGGCAGGAGAATCAAAATCCTGTATAGAGCATGGAACCACGGGAGGAAGTACTTCGGTCATGCTGCGGAGATGACCCACGAAAGAGAAAGAAAGGATGGTGGATCTTGTGAAGGACGAAGGAGAGCTACAAGGAATGAAATGAATGAGATGAATGAAAAGAGAGCTACAAGGAAAGTAGAAGAAGATGGAGCTAATGAGAGGAGAGCTACAAGGAAAGAGATGGAGCTTACAAGGAATGGAAGAATGAAAGGAGATGACGCTTAGAAGGAATGAAAGAATGAAAGGGAGCTACAAGGAGAAAAAGAATGGAAGAATGGAAGGAGAGCTAAAAGGAACTTAGAAGGAAACGGAGCTTACCCGATAAATGTTCCTGGCTTGCTGCCACATGAGCTCCTTCCCGCAGGCTCGGATGAGCGATGCCACGACGTGAGTGTTTGGAACGCACCGCCGCTGCTTCATGTGCTCGTAAAGCCTCAACGCTACCTCGACCTGCTTGGCGTTCTCGCAAGCCACCAGCAGCGGACCAAACGTAACTTCGTTTGGAGCGATCCCGGTTTGCTCCATCTCCTGGACGAGTGAGAGCGCCGCTTCCCAGTTCTTCGACTTCTGGCAGGCGACCAGGATCACGTTGTAAACCTCCCTGTCCAGCTTCATCCCCGACGACTTGACGCTGTGGAAGAAAAGCATCGCTCGATCAAACTCCCTGGCCGCGATGAGGCCGTTTAGAACCGCATTGACGGTGTAGAAGTCGGGCGCCACCCCGGACGCCTTCATCCGCGGCAGCAAGTCGAGAACGATCTCCCACTTCCCTGCCTTGCCGAGCGCTCGCATCAAAACGTTGTACGTGACGATGGTCGGCTTGCAACCGGACTCCAGCATCTCCTTGAAGAAGGTGAGAGCGACGAGCCAGCGTCCCTGCGTCGCGCAGACGCAAACCAGGCCTCTGTAGATTCCATCCGTCGCCTTGAGGCCCTGTGAGTTCATCCGCGCGTAGGCGTCGAGAGCCAAGTCGGCCTGGTTCGTCTGGACGAAGGTGCTCACGAGTAGGCAGTAAGTTCCAACGTTCTCGACGCATCCTTCCTTTCGCATCCTCTCCCACGTCTGGAGAACTCTCTCCAGCTTGTGGCCTCGCCCGTAGGCCGCCAGCATCGTGTTGTACATGGCGACGTCGGGCTTGAGCGAGCCATGCACGACGAGCTCGCTAAACATCCTGTGAGCCGACTCCCAGCCTTGGACGTGAGCCAGCGCTCGCATGACGGCCGTATAAGTGTAGAGCGTCGGGGCCACCCGATCCTGCTTCATCCTCTCGAAGATGGCGATGGCGTCGGCCTCGTCGCCATCTTTCATGAGTCCGGTGATGAGAGAGTTGTAAGCGTTGGCGTGGATACCTCTCTTCCTGTCGCTCAGCCATTCCAGGACTTTGAAGGCTGTTCTTCGTCGGCCAGCTCTCGAGAGCTTGATGACCAGCCAGGATCCTGTGTCCTTGGTTATCGCTCGCCTAAAGCTTTCTAGAACTGGAGCAACGGGATCGTCAGCTCCCAGCCTGCGAAGAGCGTCGTGAAGCCGCAAGAAATCATACTTCCCTCCAGCAGAAGTAGCATAGCGGCGATAAATGGCTCCTATCAACTTCTTCGTGTCATCTGTTTGATCCGATAAGCTAATTCTACTCGCAGCTATTGGCCCCCGATCTTCTTCACAAGGAACAACCTTTGGTGTGAGATTTTTATCTGCCACTACACTGCTTTCCTCTCCCACAACAACTGGATTTTGCGCTGGATTCTCATAGAAACCGCTAAACATCCATTGGAAGTTCCCGACAATCGCATTTCCGGTCGATGCTACGTTCTTGGCGTCTGCTACATTGCTAGCACGACCTAATTTCCCCCCTCTCCCCGCGTCTATCACCGATCTAGAGATGAAAGGAATGGCGATACCTGGCAGCGCATTTTGACAGCTTCCAATCGCCCACATCAGCGGCAGCGCCCCCTCACATCGCTGGAGGGCGCAAAAGCAAAATCCCCGCACCACAAGAACCCTATCTATCCGTTAGCGTTTTTAGGGCTCCTCATTTTCAAACATTCGGAATATTCGCCGGCATCCATTCAAACCTCCCGGTAGTCTTCGTTCTCCTTTTGCTTGCGAGCGACGCCACCATCAAAAGATTCAGGCGATTGCGAGCAACGCAAATCAAGTTTTCTTGTGGTGGATTGACTGGTGCTTTCGTGTAAGCTTCTCGCTCGTCATTGCGATTTCCAAAGAGAACGGAGGGCTTTGGGAAACTTGCGAGGACAATTCAAACAATTTGCCCCTGGATAGAGGAAGAAACTCCGGCCTTCACGCAACCTAGCCCTTTGTGATTGCTCGCATCGAGTGCGTTGGTAAAAAGGAAGGTGTGTGGAAGGAGGAAACCCCCAATTTCTATCTGTCTATCTATTTTCTGGGTGGAAGTCATAGGCATAGCCATTTGCCAAAAGTTTTGTCAATGTTTGGTTGCATGATTTCGCGCCCTCCAACAATGATTTTGATCCGTGGCAAACTAGAACAAGACTTCTTGCATGCTTTGGAAGCACGCCAGCAAACTTCGCTACGAGGCAAATCTTGCGATTGAAAGATATGGAAAAGTTGGCGCCGTCGCGGACGCGCAAAGGGTCTTTGACGGGATCGCCAGTCGCAACGAATACTCGTGGACGCTTCTCATGCAGGCTTATGTTCAGAGTGGGCATATTGGCGACGCGATGCGGGTGTTTGAGAAAATGCCGCGGGCTAATGTTGTTGCTTGGAACGGGATAATCGCGGCGTGCAATCGCAACTCTTGGTGCTCGGAGGCGAACGATCTGTTCTCTCAGATGCCGCAAAGGAATGACCTATCGTGGAATAGCATGGTTTTTGCTTATGCCTTCGATGGGCATTTGGATATTTCCATTGAAACTTTCAATAAGATGCCTTGTTTCTTGGAACTCGCTAATCGCAGGATTAGTACTAGCTTGGAGTTTTGATTACGCTAAGGCAGTTTTTGACGGCATGCCTGATCGTACTATCGTTTCCTGGGACACTTTACTCTGGGCATATTCCCAGAGCCGGCATATTTCCAACACGAAGATTCTTTTTGATCGAATGGCGCAGCACAGTCCCCTCTCGTTCGCAGGAATGGCAATCGCTTGCATCAACGGCGGAGATGCAGCTTCCGCAGATGGAATCTTGTCCGAAATATACCGCTTCTTAGATGCTCCTGCGGGAAACTCTGTCTTAGTAGCATATACCCATCGCTGGGATCTGGACCGAGCAAAATGCCTCTTTGACAGAATGGACGGCTGCGATGTGGCCTCCTGGACGGTGCTGATGCTGGCATATACCCACTCTGGGCATCTGGAGCACGCAGAGAGAATGTTCGCCGGGATGCCCAAAAGAGATACGGTGGCTTGCAACATTCTTGTGATGGCCTACGCGGCTAATGGAGATTCCTCTCAAGCGATCAGAGTTTTCGAGGATATGAAAGTGAGAGACGCTGTCGCTTGGAACACGATGATCGCTGCTTGCGGCCACTGTGGCGAATCCAACAAGGCCGAGCTCTTCTTCCACAAAATGGCTCGCCACAACACCGTCTCTTGGAACTCGTTGATCGCGGCGTTTGGACAGTGCGGCCACGCTGAAAAATCCGCCGAGCTCTTCCGGAGAATTCCACTCCGCAACGATATGTCGTGGAGAGTCCTCGTTGCCGCGTATGCTCACAACGGGCACTTGTCCGAAGCGGTGGAGTCTCTCCGGGAGACGCTGCTCGATGGCTTGTCACCGGACGAGGCTACTTTCGTGGCCGTTGTCTCGACGTTGGGCCATGCCGGGCGCGTGCTGGATGCTCGGAGGTTGCTTGTCTCGATGGTGTTCGACTTCGGATTGGAGTTGTATCTGGAGCACTACGTGTGCATGGTGGACGGGCTCGGGCGGTCCGGAAAAGTGAAAGAGGCCGAGGAACTCATCGCCAACATGCCCTTTCTTGATACTGACATCGTGTGAAAGCGCTGCTTGCTGCTTGTCGGATTCACACTGACCAGGAGCGAGGAGCTCGTGTAGCTCAGCAAGCACTGAGACTGGAGTGTTCGGCGCCTGGAGTCTTGTCACAGCTGATTTTTTAAGTCTTAGTTTTCCCTGCAGGAAATATCTCAGCGTGTTTCACGAGAAATGAAAACTCACGTTCTTTCCCTGTGTGGTTTTGCCAACTGAGATTCATAATCTCGTGGGTTGTGTCAATGACTTCACAAGGACACTGATAAAGAAGAGGTTCCAGCGCTAGCGAGGTCGGCCCCGTCTGCATGACCACTTGTCACTGCATTGCTCAAATACAACAAAAGAGTACCTTTTAAAAATCTGGATAACGAGTCTGCCACGGCTGTAGGCCTCTCAACATGTGGTATATGACCGCAGTCGCTGATAATCTCGAGCCGGGAATTCGGGAGATCCACGAGAAATTTCTGAAACGAAGAAAACACCAAAGGAAATAGAAAGTAAAAAGTAAAAAGACAGCGTACCTCGGCATTAAACGTTGGAACAATAGTATCCCGCTCCCCCCATATCAACAGAGTTTCCTTGTCCACCTACAAACAACACAAACTGTATCAACTGCACTCGGTTTCGATGTAAATGCTGCGCGCACCTCACAACTACAAAGTCATTCGAGAGGCACCTGTGGTATTTGAGAGACGACGTTATAACCTCCACTAATCATGAAATCGACCAAAGCATCGGCCCATCCTGGCATAAGGCAGTGAAGTCTTCCCACCTGGCCGAGAATAAAGTGCTCCTTTTAGCCGCGAGAAAAACTTTGTACTACGTACCCGAATCAAGTCCATCAACGAGCTATAATTCAGGCCTTTGAAAATTAATAAGTTCGCATATGCACGGAGAGGCACACTCTTCAGAACAGCTGCCTGTTCATAAATGTTGTCGCTTAAGAGAACTTTAAGGAAGTTGTTTTCTTACCCCTGCGTACAAAAGCGATCTCGGAGAAGTGGTGAGATTTCCCAATCCTTCTGCATAGCCTTGAGCATCAATCAACACCAGCTTAGACACCTGCAAACGAGAGTAAGTGTTTGCCTATCTTTCGAGTGTATATAGTGTACGCACCATCTCCGGATAAGTTGCAGCAAGCTCGATAGCAGCCGCACCTCCCAAGCTCGGGCCAACGACTATGGCTGGCCTTCGAATATGAGATCTCCAAAACTGAGGAATCAAGCTAGTTCTATATTAACTTTCAATTCGAGAAGCTTACGTCATATAGATGCCTCGTCTTTGCTTTTGCACCGTATGACGAAATCTTTCTCTCTGGCAGAAAGAAGAAACTTTATCGAAAAGTGAAAAAAAGGAGAAATCCAAAGTGGAAGAGAAAGTTACCCGACGAAGAAAATCCCCAGCCTAGAATATCCACAGCCCAAGGCTCAAGGCCAGCATCTTCAAGCAAGGGAAACGCCCGCCTCCATTCCAGGCAAGAGCTGATCAATCCCGAAAGTTGAGCGCTAAATCACAAAAGAAATTTACGAGCTAGCTCAATCTTACCTGTCGAAGCCATGCAGGAGCAGCAGTGGACTTGCATTGGATCGAATCACTCCCGGCGTGACACAGCTCGTCAAGATTGGCGAGGCGCTCAGCTCCGTCTGTGAAACTAGAGATTTTCCTCGCGAATTTCCATAGCTTAGAGCGCCTTACCGTCACTGGCAGCCTCTTGATCCTCGACGCCATGATCCGCGCAGCTTGCTCCTTCAAATGCGAGGCCTCCGGGGGCAAGAACGAGGGAAATTTCACCCCCAAGTCAGCCATAGCCGCGTCTCTAGAACCCTAGAAATTTAAAAGCTCTGGAACGCCCCATCCAACCGTTGAAGCTTACTAGAAGACGAAGCGAGCCGTCCGATGCTTTGTGTGGCCAACGTGACGATCAACGGGCTTGGACGTGCCACATCACGGCTCCAATATATAAACACCAGCAAGAGAGAATGTAGCGCTAGGGTTTTGTTTCAAACGTGAGTGCCACGGCTATGGCGGTGTCCAGATCGGGGGCTCTTGCTTCGTCCCCACCGCCCTTCGCAGGTGCAGATTTTCGATCTGTGGTAGATTCTCTTGCTGATTCGTGACCAGCAGAGCGATTCGAGGTTTTTAGGGCGTGGGAATCGGTCTTAGAATGCTCGTCTAGGCCATTCCATGGCACGGACGTCGGTAGTCTTGCAGGACGATTCAGGGCAAGTGGTCGGGAGTCCCACATCCACGGCAACGCCTTCCCGATCTCGATGCATCACAGAGACTGTGAATGGATCTCACCATTTCACGATCCATGGCTATTCCCTGGCCAAAGGGATGGGCGTAGGGAAGTACATTGCGAGCGACACATTCACGGTTGGGGGCTACCAGTGGGCGATCTACTTCTATCCGGATGGGAAGAACACCGAGGACAACTCGCTCTACGTGTCGGTGTTCATAGCTCTGGCAAGTGAAGGGACGGATGTGAGGGCGCTGTTCGAGCTGACGCTTCTGGATCAAAGCGGCAAGAACAAGCATAAGATCCACAGCCACTTTGATCGTTCGCTGGAGAGTGGTCCTTACACACTGAAGTATCGAGGCAGTATGTGGTAAGTTTTTTTATTCTTCTTCCTTGAGTTGCATGGGACTAAAAAATGTTTTGGCTTTGCAGGGGTTACAAGCGCTTCTTCAGACGGGCCGTGCTCGAGACGTCCGATTTTCTGAAAGACGACAGTCTTTCAATCACCTGCACGGTCGGCGTCGTAGTTTCCTCCATGCAAGCCTTGAAGCAACACTCTTTGTTAGTTCCGGAATCCGATATTGGCCAACATTTCCTGTCTTTGTTGGAAAGTGGTGAAGGAACGGACGTTAACTTTAACGTAAAAGGGGAGGCATTCAGTGCTCACAAGTTGTTACTGGCTGCGAGATCCCCAGTGTTCAAAGCGCAGCTGTTTGGACCCATGAAGGACGAGAATGGTGACGTGATCGAAATCGACGACATGGAACCACCTGTCTTCAAGGTAAAGAGCTTCTTTTATACACATCTGACTGTTTCTCACGCAACTTTTCGTCCCCTTTGTTTGATAGGCCATGCTACACTTTATATATAAAGACAGTCTGCCCGATACCAACGAGATGACAGGGTCTTCGTCACAGTCGACGGCGACGATGATGGCTCAGCATTTACTCGCAGCCGCAGATAGGTTTTGCCTGGATCGTTTAAGACTTTTGTGCGAGTCCAGGCTCTGTGAACAGATCACTGTTGACACAGTGGCGACTACGCTTGCGTTGGCAGACCAACACCATGCATCTCAGCTCAAAAATGTCTGCCTCAAGTTCGCTGCTTCCAACCTTGCAGGTCTGGCGCCTCAGTTAAGCTTTGCAATGTGTAGCGTGTTGTCTAACTCGGGAGGCTGGTTTGTTTTGTTTTTTGACAGTGGTGATGCAGTCTGATGGTTTTGAGTACCTGCGTGAGAGCTGCCCGTCATTACAATCCGAGCTCCTCAAGACGGTCGCGGGAGTAGAAGAAGAAGCCAAGGCTGGAACAAAGAACAGGACCGTCTGGACGCACGTCGCAGATGGTGGCGACGGATTGGGAAGGCGCGTGCGGCAAAAGATCTGACGCTGCCCACCGGCGGCGTCAGTGAAGATGTTTCAAGGCTCTTTTTAGTGATGGAAGCTCGCCCAGGACCTCTACGAGAAAACCTCCGGTCAGTACACATTGAGTTTCCATTTTGTGAGATTTCAATGTGCTGATCACTAGGAGAAAGGTTGCTGTGTCGTTGTATGATACAGATTTATAAAGGGCTTCCCTTGATGCAATTCTCCAAAGCGTACCAAGAGCCGCTCGACGATACTGTGGTGTGGCTGGAAAGGAAGAAGTGGGTCGACTCGGCGGTTTACTCGGATCTCCTCAGGAAGTGTGGAAGCTCGAAATCGCTGACGCTTGGGATACGTGTTCATGCACATATCATCCAGTGTGGACGTGATCGAGAGACTTACATCGGGAACTATCTCATCGAGATGTATGGGAAGTGTGGCAAGGTTGACGAGGCACGCAGGGTGTTTGAGGCCATCCTCGACCGCAACGTTTTCTCCTGGAACTTGATGATCGCGGCGTATGCCCGGCATGGGCATAGTAGGGACGCCTGGGAGGTGTTCCGGAGGATAGACTTGGAGGGTGTGAAGCCGAGCAGGGTCACCTTCTTGGGTGTGCTGGATTCGTGTAATGGTGCCAGGGGCCTGGCAGCGGGACTGGAGATCCATGCCAGGATGGTGGAGGGGGGATTTGAGTCGGACGTGGTGGCTTGCACTGCTCTATTGAATATGTACGGGAGGTGCTCGGGGGATGCAAGAGCAGCTCGAGCGGTTTTTGATGGTATGGAGGTCCGGGACTTGGTTTCGTGGAATGCCATCGTGGTTGTCTACTCTCAGAAGGCACAGTGTGAGGAGGCAGTGAAACTCTACCGGCAGATGCTGCTCCAAGGTGTGCAGCCCGACGAGTTTGTGTTCAGCAGTGTCATCTTCGCATGCTCGGATCCGAAACTGGCCGCTGAGGGGTCGAGCGTTCATCGAAATGTGATGGAAAGTGGACTCGAGTCTCACGTCGTCGTCGGTAACGCACTGCTTCACATGTATGGGAAGCATGGGAACTTTGGGGCTGCAAGGCGGGTTTTTGACAGGATAGAGAACAGGGACGTCATATCTTGGACTGCGATGATCGTTGCTTACTCCCATTCTGGTCAGGGTCGAGCCGCCTTGGAGGTTTTGGAGATCATGCGAGCGCAGAGAGTGGAGCTGGACAGAGTTGGATACACAAGCGTCATTGATACGTGCACGAGCCTTGGAGCTCTGGAAGAAGGCAGGCGTATTCACTCGCAAATCGCGAAGCAGGGATTGGAAACCGACGTCGCGGTGGGAAGTGCGTTGGTGAACATGTATGGGAAGTGTGGTGACTTGGAAGATGCGAGAGCAGTGTTTGCGGGAATCGAAGGGAAGGATAGGTGCGCTTGGACGTCGATGCTTGGGGCGTATGCGCAACATGGTGACGGAGACAGAGCGTTCCAAGTCTTTCAAACCATGGACTTGGAAGGAGAGAAGTCCGATCCTATCACTCTGATATCGGTGCTTAGCGTTTGCTCCGACAAGTCCTCGGCCTTGTCACAGGGAAAGGCAATTCACTCGAGCATCTCCGGGAGCGGGCTCGAACTGGACGGCCTCGTAGCTACTGCTCTCATCGACATGTATGCGACATGTGGGAGCTTGCGAACTGCTCGAAACTTCTTCGACGCTATCCAGGCCAAAGGCGACGTAGTGCTGTGGAGTGCTATAATCTCCGGCTACTCACAGCATGGAGACTGGGAAGAGAGCACAACACTCTTCCGGCTCATGCAGCTAGAAGGACTGGAGCCGGACAACAGGACGATCACAAGCGTCTTATCAGCATTTAGCCACGGTGGTCTCGTCGATCAAGCGACCGAGTGGTTTGGAACAATGGTGGAAGCTTGCGACATGAAGCCAGCAATCGACCACTATATGTGCCTGATCGATCTGCTGGGAAGAGCTGGATGTTTGGAGGCCGCGGAGCTCGTGATGAAGAGAATGCCTTGTAAGGCTGATACGGTGGCTTGGACGACGTTACTTGGCTCGTGTACCACTCACGGAGATGTTCACAGAGGTGCTCGAGCAGCCGGACAGATGCGAGATGACTCTGGAGCTTATGTTTCACTGCGAAACATCTGCATCGAGCAGAGCCAAGCGAGAAGAAGCTAGCAGGATTCCTGGCCACGTTTTGGGATCTCTGGTCGGTCAGGAGTTCGTCATCGTCTCGGAGATCCTGATGGAGCCTACAGGCGCTCAAGACAGTGCAATTTTGAGGAGCAGGGCTTCCAGCTTCCCAGTTCTTGCGAGAAGATCGATCACGCCCGCACATATCCAGCTCCTGCATCACTCCATGATCTTGCTCCATCCTAGCGAGGATCTTGGCTCTACCAGGCAGACGAGCTATCGGCGAGAAACCGTCCATTCGCATCTCGTGGAAGAGCTCCAGAGCTCGCTGGCTATCACCGCTCTGGGAGTGAGCCTTGATCATACTCGTCCACATCTCCCCGCAAGCTACGTACATGGTCGCCAGCCCCGTCTCTACGATTGGATCCGGGGTCTTCGAGGATGGACTGGTGGATTGCTCGTCCCTGGGAGAGCGAGCAGCAGGAATCCAGAGCGCTGGCCACCGCAGCGCTGCCCAAGCCAATGCCTTCCAAGTTGAGGCTGTGGAAGAGATGAGGCTCCATGGACTAGAAGTCTTCCAGGCCGCCATGCTTGCCGTAGACGTGGAGAACGTTGTGGATGGCTTCGTCGGGCTGGACGCCGCTGGAGTGGAACAGACCATAGAGCTCTCGAGTCTCTGGCAACTCTGGAAAGCGGTGGCGAAGCTAAAGGCGTCGTGCTTGAAGCCGTGGAGCTGCTGCGCGAAGAGGTGGAGATGCCCGGCTCGGCTGCGAGAGGAGAAGAGGAGGAAAGTGTTGGGATTGGCCTCGGCGGCGATGAGTGAGTGCTTATTTGGATGTCCTCACCAGTGGGAGAAGAATCGCTCACTTATGGTACTTCCTCCAGCTCCTGGAATCTATAAACTTTTTCTACACTGGTGAGGGTCATGAGCTGAAATTCAGATGTGCTTCTGGAACTGGACGTCCGTTCTTTCTCTGCTGGAGTGATATACAAAATCCCACGCCTCAAACAGTCGGCCATGAAGCAACTCAAGAAAACTCATGGTTCGATCTTCTAAAGCTTGCTAACGCGTCCAAGTTGCTGGTACATATACTATTAGTCTAGCACTTCGATTGAGATGCCTTGATGAAGTCTCTAGCTACTCAGGATATGAACAATACTGTTAAACTGCCTAAAATTTAACTATCGGCTGCTTACCATTCAGATATGGGAGAAAGCTCTTCAGTTCTTTGCGCCATCCTCCTCTTAAATTTGCCGACTAGCGGTCAATCCTGGCGTCATCACTGTCATTGAGCGTTTTGTTACTTCCTGGATCGAGGAGAGATGGAGACCTTATGCTTCGAGCGTTAGAGTGTGATCACATCAACGGGAAGTCGTCAATTGCCATAGCTTTGTGTTGGTAACAACTTTGAAGCTCGTTTTGAACGATTTATCTGATTGATTTTATTATCTTGCCTATAGAAGAGCCGCTCTCCCGTGTTGCGGAGGATGCTGGACGAAGTTCCTACACAAGATGGTGTTTTCTTGGGCAAAGGGTGTATCTCCCACTTCGTGAACTTTACAGGGGCCGTTTCGTGAACTCGCATAAGCTCGCACTCGGGCAGCTTGAAATGCTCTTGCACGCTGGTATGTTTGTGCGATATTGTGGCTCCAAGGTTTGTTGCTCCAAATTGTTGTTCACATTGCAGCTACTTGTGGGAGATTCCATTCATGGCAGCTGCAGTGGAAGCGATTCTAAGAATGAAGTCTAGTGAACGAGAAAGCAAAACAAACGTTTGAAAGGGGATAGTCAAGCATCTCAAGGCAATTGCTTGCATCAAGCCTTGCGCATAATACTTGAGGACAATGAGCATGGTTGTAAAATGCTTCGCCAGGAGCATCAGTTATGATGGTGTTTTGCAAAGTGAGAAATACCTGCAGCTGGTTCAAACCCCATCGGACTATATGAAACGTGCAGGCACCTGAGGTCAAGAAACTGCTCGTTAACTTCTTGTAAGATTATATAGTTGTAGTGTTTCATTAATACACTCTAGAATTTGCAAAATATATATCATATCTGTATAACATTAGAGAATCGCATTCGGCATACAAGTTTTGTGGCGGGAGAAGAGACGATGAGAAGTTAAATTTTAGCGTTGGAGGTCCTAATGTTTTAAAAGTATTCATATTCGATCTTAGTGAAGACATCTATTTCCTTTAATTGAGAATGATTTGAGGGTTCCATGTTTTTTTCCGTGAAGGATCGATCGCGTTTCACGGATGTGGCTGTCTTCTCGAAAGATAAAGCCGCGTCCTGCCGCGCTCACAAGCTCGTGCTCGTGGAACGCTCTCCACAGATTGCAGCGCATCTCACTGATGATACTTCCTCCATTCAACTCGAGGTGCCCGCCACTGTGCTCCAGCAATTTCTAGATTTTTTCTACACTGGTAAGTGTCGCGTTTACTTGTTACTGACGAGCATCATCTATTGAAATTCAGAGAAACTCGTGGAACTGGGCGTGCATTCTCTGATAGCTATATTCTCCGCTGGAGGATATACAAAATCCCAGGCCTCCAACAGGCAGCAGTGAACCAACTCATGGCTTGAACTGGCTCGATCTTCTAGAGCTTGCTAACGCGTCCAAGCTGAAGGTACATATGCTAAACAAAGCTAGCACTTTGATTGATCCATCGATGATCAGGCCTTGATGAACGATATTACTTTTCGAGCTGCTCGGGAGATGAACCATAACGTTGCACTGCCTGGCTATTCAAAGTTTAAGACCGACTACCCACTGCTGACAATTCGGATGTGGGAGAAATCTCTTGAGTTTTTTACACAGCCCTCCATGGATTATTGCCGATCAACTGCGCAACCTGGCGTCGCCGTCGCCACTGACGTTGAACTCTTTGCTACTTCCTGGATCGAGAAGAAAGATGGAGACCTTATGCTTCAGGCCACCGCACAGCCACCAGATTGTGATCACATCGACGGGGATAGCTTTGTGCTGGTAAACTGTGCTATGTGCGGAATGGAGCCCCTCGGAGTCCACCAGGTAGCATGAAGAGTTCGTCACCCTTCCGTGTAGAGTTGCCAAGCTGAATCTCACTGGTTCCTTATCCCACCCAAAGGCATCGGAATTGAGCTTGAGTCTCCAAGAGACGGTGTTGCTCCTCCTCGGCCTCAGCCCGGTGTGCGTCCTCATCCTGGTGCTCTTCTCGCCGCTGCTGGTGATGTTCATGCTCTTCATGCTGGGGATCGCGGGGCTGGCCCGATCGAGGCGCCGGCTGGGGCGTCACAAGGAGGCGCTACAAGCACCACAGCACTGGCGATGGATTCTTCTGGGGCGACGATCTGGTAACAAGCGGGAATGAAGGGCTGGAGAGCGAGAAGCAGCAAAGGGTGAACCGAGTATCAAGAATCTCGAGGACCGCAGGCCGCTGGAAGCTCCATTCCTGGGAATCGACGACGCCTGGGCGGCTCCTCTCGATCCTTCCTCCTCTTGGGACGGATTGGACGATGACGACGAGGACGGTTTCTTCCCGGACAATTGCGGCACGCGCAGCGATGTGTCCGACCTGGGGGATGAAAACTCCGGGAGTCTAGAGGTTTGGCAGCAGCAGAGAATTGGCGGCACATAGCTTAGTTCCTGGAGCTAGGCTCAACTTCCTGTTCCCAGAGAGCTCTAGCCAGCAAACCATCTTGAGGTGTGCCACTTAAGTATTTGGCGCCATGCTTTGAGGACCATTCCCAGTATTCTGCGGTGCTTCCCCAAGTCACAGCCAAAGATCTTGAAGAAAAGCTGTGGAGTAGCCGGAGTAGCTCGATCGATCCGTAAGCCCTGGAGAAAGCGAGAAAAAAAATTATGAGCCAGAAAGGATCACCAAAAGAAAGCGCTTCTTACTAGGATTCTTGCTTAGATCAAATATTTTTCCCAAGAGAAAGAACCTTCTGATCCGTCTCCGATGAGAATGTGTCCACCCATACCCATCGGGCTAGCATATGTGGCATCCATGAGGCATCCAAATGACATTGTTGAACCAATAGAAAATTGCCACATGGACACTGTATTGCGAGTGAAATTTGCCACAGTAACATCCACTTTTTTACAAATTGCACGCCATAGGAAGTCGTCAATTGCCATAATTTTGTATTGGTAACGAATTTGAATCTCATTTGAAAGACCAATTCTATTGTCTTGCCTTATATAATATTATATAATAGCCGCTCTCCCGTATTACAGAGGATGCTGGAGTTCCTTTAAAAGATGATTGCTCTGATAATCTCCCACTTTGTGAACTTCCTTTACATGGGCCGTTTCATGGACTTTGACAAGCTCTCAATCGAGCAGCTTGAAATGCTTTTGCACGCTGGTAAGTTTGTCGTGCCTCCAAGGTTTTTGCACGAATTTGTTGTTTACAATGCAAGTGGCTCTGTGGGAGATTCCCTTCCCTTCATGACAGCTGCAGTGGAAACGATTCTGCAAGGCTCGATGCAAGAAATTGCTTTGAGATGCTTGGTTTTCCCCTAGGTTTGTTTTGCTTTCTTGTTCACTTCACTTCATTCTTGTAACTTGAGGCAGGCCACGGTTTTAAATCGAGCATCAATTTTCATTTCTTGAAAAGTGAGCAATACAGCTAGTTCAAACCCATCCACAAAAACTCATCCGAGTGTATGAAACGTTCACGAGGTCAAGAAATGGTCCTGCGTCTATAGTTCTTCTTTTTAGATTTTGTAGAAAATTTAAGATTAATTATACATGCTCCCCATCAGTCACAGTAAATGACACCAATCCGACGGTGGCGCTGGCTTAGGGGTCCCACGTGGACGGCCGTCGGACCGCTCGTAGTTTTCTTCGCAACAAAAGTCTGGGTCTAGGCCTAGGCCGGTGTACAAGTTTGACGTTTTGGGTGGTGGCTCTTTTTCTCCTGCTTGTGCAGCTCAATCACTGACAAGTAGTCGACAGTGAGCACCACTCGCGGCGGAGTAAAACCGGCGGCCTTGGCGAGCGCCTCCAGATCTTGCAGGCTTCGCTCCTTGCCTCCCGGGCAGCAGGATAGCATCAGCAAATCCATGGCCAATACGTGACGAGATCCCAAGTCGTATTCCACGCCGCTGGGCAGCACGGCATCCACGATAACGAGCTTGCCATGGCTGGCCAGCGATTTGTGACAGTTCCCAAGGATCTTAAGGCAGTCATCGTCGCTCCAGTCGTGAAGAACCAGCTACAAGCAAAAAGAAAGAAAAGCTCGCAGGCTGACTAAAGCAAAAGAGCAAGGAAGTCGTTCTTACTTTGATCAAGAACGTATCTCCTTGTGGGATCTCGTCAAACATGTCCCCGGCGACGTGCTTCACACCTATAGGTAGAACACACAAACTTTCCTTCTTAGGCCAAAGAGGAAAATCTAGGAGGATAAAATCTCCCCAAAAGTTCTAAGATCACGGAGGATAGTTCCTAGCATAGCGAGATATTCTACCAGGCAAAGGAAGAACGAGACCATCGCTTCTTCAAGGGAACTTACCAGCGAGCTCTGGAGCTCGGGCTATAACGTGGGGAAGATCGAAGTTAATCGCGTGCTGGATGCTGGGATGCGCGGCCAGAATGTCGCGCAGCGCGACGCCGACACCCCCGCCGACGTCCACGATCGTGCCGGCACTGGCGAATCCCCGGTACTCGTCCAGGATCGCGGGCAGGAAGATCATCGAGTGATCGCACATTGCCGACGTGAAGAGGCGATCCAGCCGATTGCTGCGCGACGCGAGCTGGAAGAAATGCTCGCCGCCGTGCGCGAGCGAGAATGGACTAGTCTGCCCGCCGCTCAGCACGGCATCGGCCAAGAACTGCCACGGCCGCATCAAGATCTCGTCGTGGTTGAGGGAGATCCACGGCGCCAGTGACGCGCCACGATCGTCCTTGAGGAGGAAGCGGCAGAGATTGGTGAGGCCGTAGCGCCGGATGGCCGCCGGGGCAGGATCATCGCGCTCGACGTCCTCGCGAAATATCCCCCTGCTCGCAAGAACCCTTAGAATGCGATTCAGGACAATGCCGCCCAACGCCGGGCTTTGGCATCCGGGGATCCTCGCGACGATCTCTGCCGCCGAGAGCATCGCGTCGCATCCCGCGCTGGCGATGATCTGGAACACGTCCAACCGGATCGCGGCAGTGAGCGCCATGGGGACGTTGCACAGCAGCCCCAGCTCCATGATTCGCTGCCGATCCTCGTCGTGGATCGTCCGTGGCGCCGGCCAGATCGAATCGCGCGAGGCCATTGGCATGGAGAGAGTCTGAGGGAGGAGGAGAAGAAGTGGGTTTTTTCTAGTAGAGAAGGAGGCAAGTAGCATCGATTCTTCTTCACCGTCGCTATCATCTGACCCAGAGGCGGGCTGTGTGAAAACTCCACATGGATTGGCTTGGAGCTGGCACTTTTTAACTTAAAAAATGGTGAGTATTGTTTTAAAATATAAAAATACAATCTAAATAATAATTTATCTTTGTCTTTTATATTAATCTTACCACCATTTTGCTTCTTTTTATTACTCGCAATTATCATCTAAAGGATGGACTGTTATGAGCTATTTGCTGCAGGACTAATCTGTTTTTTGGAGCTTAGTATCAATATTTACTATTGGATTTTTATTAACTTGGATATCTAGTATATTTGTAAGTTTATTATTTAGATTAAGTTTGTGTTTATAAAGTATAAATGTAGATGTTTGAAATATGTTTTTAATGTTTATAATATTATCAATACCATCTATCATAAAAAGTTTCAACCAAGATATATTGTACCCAGTTAAAGGTTGAAATAATCCTAAAATTCAAGAATAAGAATAAAGGGTATCTTATTATTGGCCTAGTGTGCCATGTGGTAGATAAGAAAAAACATTCACTGAAGAAAACAACTTCTTATAAAGAATTGTGTTTCAATACAATGGTGAAAGGCTAATTAATAGTTGGCATAAAAATGGTGAAATATGGTTTTTGCAATAAATATGAATATAAGTAGTATGTGTCCTAAAGATAAACTTACAAAGCTAATAGTGTAAAGACACCAAGTATTTCATTGGAAGATATCTTGAATAAATCCAAATGGTTAATTCATAAAATCCTTACCAAAGGAAACAAAGTTGACATAGCATAAAATATAAAGTATAGAAATAAAGTGCTTCGACCAAATATGGATGAAGGTGTAGAATCACTAATAATGAGTTATAGGACAAGATAACTATAAGGACAACTAATTAAAGATAATGGGATTTAACTTCTCAAGACTATGTGTTAAGACAAAAAAAAAGTTGGATATATTCTTTAACGGATAAACTATTTCTATTATGATATAGTAAGTCATTATTATAGAAGGAAATACTCATTTCCTAAAAAGTCCATTATTAGAGCATAGAAACACCTAAAATACTAAGAAGGTGTTTAGTATTATAAGAGCAATAGATAATGCCCAATGAACTAAAGATTAAAGAAAACTAGAAATTGGGAAGTTTTATCTATTCAAAATGAATAAGGTCAAAAGGATTTTCATATGGCTAGCAATGGGCATATGAAGGTTCATAAGTAATAATGTTAATCTTGGTGTATGAAATTATAGGTTGAGTGTATCCAAATTAAAGCACCACTTCCTAAGTCATAGAATAGATTTATCCCTAAAAATACTTATTAAAGGGTGAGTAAGAAGTGCAAAGCCCTTTTAGCATAAAGAAAAATAAGCTAAAGGAATGTATAGACCAAGAGTAAATAATAAATTAATAGAATAGAATAATAAGAATCAAAGGACATAAGTAAGAATTGCTATACAAATTAAAAGTGGGGAATCAAGTATAAGCTTGAGGGTTTGTTACTTGCAAATATGACACTATAAAGAATCTAAAGTATAAAAGTGATCATATTAGATTAGATAGAGCATAAAGTTTGTGAAGGGAAAGGCTTTAATAAGCTAAGGGCTAGAGTCCCTTTAATGTACTTAAATAAATTAGTCTCCAGGAAGCTGAGTACAAATGGTTTATAGGCATATGTAGAATCAAAGTTATACAATAAAAGTGTGGTTTTGAAGCTTGTTATAATGCAAAATTATCAAGATTAGAAAAGTAAATTTCACATATTCAAAATGATGACTTTGAATGGAAGTTAATATTTGATGACTTACATACTTATATGTAAAACTATGTTACACTAGCTAAATGACCTATTAAGTAAGATTAGCAAGTTAAAGTAATGTCCTTTGAAAAAGTTGACTCCATAAGAGAAGGCTCATAAAACCAAATATGGAGGAGTCAATGCATAATTATAAATTAATTATCAAGTTCATCAAATGAGATAATTTAGAAGCTAGGAGGAATAAAGTTCTTAAGTTGTAACTCATAGTATGCATATAAAAGAAAAGCTAATTAATATTGTATAAGCAACTAAAGAGAACGATTTGAGAAACAATTCATAAAGGTTTAAATATAAAAAGAAAAGGTTTATGAATAAGAGTGCAACCCTTTTTTTAATCGGTTAAAGGTTTTAGAATACTTGAGGTTAAATGTCCTTGAATTTGAATAGTACTAAGCTGAATAACCTCTCGAGAAGTCTAAATTCAGAAATTTACATTTGGTATCAGAGAAGTCTCAGGTCCGATTCTATTTATTACTAAGAGAATCATACCACATATTAAGATTGACATTTAGTAAGTCTAATTTATTTCCAACTAGATTTAATTTGAGGTGTAAGATGTCAAAAGAGAAGGGATCTTGGGAAAGCTACAACTCTCAACTTTTGTTCACAAGGGTGTGAATTTGTAGGAAGTGGGGTGGTGTCGCGAATGTGACTTCGGGTATCGAAAGTTACCTGTCAGCCAGTCCTTACGGACACTCTTACCTTACTGCCACGACGGCAGGAGGTCGGTATTGCTGGACCCGTTATTAGTCTCCACCTAAGCTAGTTGAGAAACTGGTCCTCGCGTGTGCACTTGACCAGATGGGCATAAGGACGGAATTCCTAAGTGCTATTAGTCAAGCATACTTGACTGTCGCGCATGTGACTTCGGGTATCGAAAGTTACCTATCAGCTAGTCCTTACGGACACTCTTACCTTACTGCCACGACGGCAGGAGGTCGGTATTGCTGGACCCGTTATTAGTCTCCGCCTAAGCTAGTTGAGAAACTGGTCATCACATGTGCACTTAGACCGGAAGGGCACTAAGGAAGGAAATCCTAAGTTGTCATTTAGTCAAGCAGACTTGACACGGTGATGAGAAACTCATGATGTTGGCTTGCACTTGCTAGTGTTGGGAACCCCCGCGATATTGAGCTTGGTTCCTCAATATCGCTAGATGATAGCTTACCGTGTCTGCCAAACACCCTCGCTATCATGCCCTTTGTGTTAGTCTCATTTTAGTCCCAAATGCTATTTATGGAAAGTGTCCAGATTTGCTCATTTGGCATATCTACAGAATGTAGAGATCGGCCTGAACACAATGGTGTTCGTCCCGTGTCCAAATTCGCATTCTAAGGACATTCCATATTTAGTATGTTTCGAGCTTGTCCCAGAGACTAACTCCTGGTACTAAGGGAGGCTTGGGGTGAAAGCCCAAAGCGTGTGTTCCTCAAGGGGGGGGGGGGCTATGGGGGGTTCCAAATGTATAGTAGGGATAGTGGGTAGGTCGGGCATGGCCGACCAACCTGAGGCATAGTCTAGCTCCCGCTTGCGTGCCTGTCCTTGTTCTGCGTCCGGCTTGGGTCTAAGCCCAAGTTCCATTCCATGCTAGTTGGTGGAGTACCCATATCCTCGCGTTAGGCCACCGGTATGCCGAAATAGCACCAGACTCTGTTTGGCTCCGTTTTGCGTGCTGGTCCTGGCATTGGGATGCTGGTTGCTCTAGGACTGTTCCAAGTCGCTTCGGGCCCCTGTCCCTTCGCTCCTTGGGCTATATGCTCAGGAGTTGCTCCGTGGTCCGGTTCCATCACTCCTTGGCATCACGCTTGGGAGTTTGGCACCGTTCCTTCGTTCAGTGGCCCAAGGCCCTGAACCTCGGGTTCCTGTGGACACGTGGCATGGACACGTGGCATGTGACACGTGGCATCTGTCACGTGGCACAAAGAGGGTTTAGGTTCCGCTTCGTGGTGTTATCCTATGGTAAATCACCATAGGATAAAGGGTCAAAACCACGTGCGCTACATTTGGTATCAGAGGATGAGTCTCAGCGAGTACTATTCAATGAGATTGGGCAACTAGTCTCGTTGCATACGCAGAGATGAAAACGATGATCCGAGTGGGTACACGTTTTGGTGTAAAGGCTTCGCAATCGTTCCTTGGGATAGGTTTTGGGTTACCTTGTTGTACCTTATGATGTGAGCTTGCGCTTGGGCTCATAGGATGGTTTGGAGATGTTCCGTTTGCATGAGTTTGAGCTTGGGCTCGTGAGTGAGGCGCATTAGCAACTCAAGGTTGCACTTTGAGTTGGCAGGATTAATGTTAGCCTATCGTTGGTTCCATGAGTTATTCCTTGTACCATGGGTGAAAGCAAACCTACCTGGGTTTGCTATGAGTGGCAAATAGGCTGGTCCGTAGCTGTTTAGCACGGCACTAGTGGATCCTTCCTAGGCATGATTATAAGTGGATCAATCAAGACTATAAGGGAATAGTCTATTGGTTCAAGTAATTATCGCCGTGCTCTCTCATAAACTTTTCTTTGATTGAACTGAAGGCAGTGCGAAAGCAAGCTTGAGGTTTGGTCAAAGATGAGACCGAAAAGAGAGTCATCGAGGACGGAGGATCAAATACGTAAATCATTTTCTCTTCTTGGAGAGATGATTTGCAACGAGGTGTTAACTCATTGCTTGTGTTCACATAATGCAATCAAGAGTCCCTACCTTGATGCATGTTGGAAATGATGGTCTTACAAATGGTGAGTTATGGGATGGATAGTGGTGTAACACTAAACCATTTTGTCTAGGCTCGCTATTGGAAGACTTGGGTTGCAATGCTCAATTCTTTTCTGGGGAACCTTGCTATTGCTCCTTGAGTAGTTTGGTGTTGGATTAGTGTTGAGTTTGGTCGGAAAGAGGGTGGCATGAGCTTATCTGTGTTGTGAACAAAAGTTGGTGGTATTTGGTGTCGTAAACCTCTATTGGTGGAGTGTGGCATTTATGTTGCATTTTGTCGAATCGAGTTGGCATTTGATACTCACATAAATATTTGAAGTAATGACATAAGCTTTGCTCATTGCGTTACTCAATTGATGATCAAGTCATTGTGATTTATATCATATCCATGTGATAATGAGCAATGTGTTTACGAAGTTGCTTGGATAAATGATGATCAACCCCAAAGTGGTTGGTGGAGAAGCTAGTCTACTTGCACGAAGTAGCATTGTAGTAGCTTTGACTGGATTCTCAATGGTGGTCCATTATGCTAAGCTTATGTTGGTACCTTGTTTCCTTGAG